TATTTATGAATTTAACATATTTAACATTTTCCCTCTTTTTTGGGGTATTTTCCTTTTCCCTTTCCTTTCCCTTGCTCCTCCACATTTTTACTTTTGTCTTTCCATCTTCTTGTCTTTTAAATTTTTTCCATTTTTGCCTTGTTCTCATTTCATCTCACCCCCTTCCCTCCTCCTCCTTCTCAGGGGAACAGTGTAGCTCATCGCTCAGCCAAGGAGGCTCTGCTGATCTGGTGTCAGAGGAAAACATCAGGCTACAATGGTGTTGATGTGCAGGACTTTTCCTCCAGCTGGAGGGATGGACTTGCCTTCAATGCTCTTATCCACGCCCACCGGTAGCATACTTGTGCACACGCATTTTTGTTGTATTTGTGAGGTCCCTCAAAAAATATTTCCTAAAATATCCTCAAAAGTCAAAAACTCAAATGGAAACTCAAATCGCTTCTCACAGAGTAAACATACATGTGTCTGTCCATCCCAGACCTGACCTTTTTGACTACCGCCGTTTCCATGGCGATAACCCTCAGCGTAATCTGGAGCATGCGTTCACTCTGGCAGAGCGGGAGTTCAGTATCATGCAGCTTCTGGAGGTGGATGACATCATGGTCGCTCATCCTGATGAAAAGTCCATCATGACCTACGTGTCTCTGTACTACCACTACTTTTCCAGGATGAAGCAGGGGCAGACCATCCAGAAGAGACTTGCCAGGGTTGGATTCAGCACAAACATAAACACAGCAGCATTGCATACAACAGAAAAAAAGATCAGTCAGATAATAAATAATATGAGCATAATAGCATAATACATAATATTAATTGAAGCCCAAGTGATTCTAAATTTGTGTATGGATGAGTGCATATAAATATATACGACACATACAGACATGCACATGTTATAGAGATTAAAGGTGACATTTTCTAAAATAAGGCAGAATTGTTTCTGTTTAACTAAACGTGCAGTAAAAATAAAAAAGAGAAGCAATGGGGCAGAGAAAGAGTCTGTATCAGTCTGTCAGTCCATCTTTTCAGACTCAGTTGGCTCTTGTAACTTGATGTTGATTAGCAAAAACCGAGGCTGGTTACAATACAACTGACATAATTTTATGGAAAATCGAATCTATAAGGCAGATTTCTGAACAATTACAGTCAGTTTATTTGTCCCTAAACTCAGATTGTGGGTCATTTTTTTCTTTAAATAATGTGTTGCTTGACATAATGTCTGTCATACTGTTTATAGTGTGGACTGCTCTGCCCCATGTGGTATTGTAACCTGCTCTAAATAGTGTAGATTACTGCTACACTGACAAGCTGCTGCTCACACAAAACACAAAACACAGCTGGTGGGATTTTTATTTTGGTAGATAAGAAGGTATTAGTAGCTCAAAGGAGAACCTTTCATAAAAGAGGGGCTGTGGATGTTAAGAATCACATCAGATCACATGCAATGAGATGCTGCTGGAGGCAGCAGCAGGAACTCATTCAGAGAACCACACACCTTTAACACACCGAAGCTACAAGCCTTTATCTGCTTCACACATGTTCCTTCTGCTGTACATGATAATAACCAAGTTAAACTGAGTTAAACTGTTTTGGGGCTGAGTGTTGTCAGATGTTTTTTTAAGGTTTGCATTTTGTTTATTTGGACTGAGGGTTATGGTTGCAGGAGTGAAAGTGCTGTGACTGAACACTGATGCTGCTGTATTGCTTCTCATTCTTAAATAGTTAATGGGAGGTAAAACTAACATCTTTAATTTCTCATCTTAAGGCGCGTACACAATGGAAGTGATAACTACAGCTTTGAAAATTATGTTAGAAGCCACTTTTATATTTATTAGTATTTTTGCATTGATAGGTAGGCAACTATAAATCAAAAATTAAGCAAGCCAATCATGTGATGTAATATAACAGCCATGCATTTTAAAATCAACATTGGCTCATATAGCTTGTGATAGTGATAGTGCTCAGGTGCAGTGACCAGCATTTTCAGAATGCCAGGAAGGGACTGACAGCAGCCTTTTGCAATAAGATTGAGCAGTTTCAGATGGACACTTTTTTACCCCAGTGGGGTTGAGGGGACATCAAGAGGGGCAGGTGCAGGATGCAGAATTACAGTTTGCAGAATTAGAGTCAACCAGCAACAATGGGGATAGCCTATTAACAATGAAATCATTAAGAAGGCAAGATAGGTAATTTAAGGATTAATTTAAATGAGCAACTTTTCTTGGTTGCTAATTCTTTGGTTACGAACAATATTTTTGTCTTTGATTTGCCAGTCCAGATTCCATTTTAACATATCAAACCAAAACATCCAGAACACAAAAGTAGGACTTCATTCTTTTCTCCACAGATTGTTGGGATGCTCATGGAGCTGGATGGCATGAAGATCCAGTATGAAAGAATGGTCTCAGATCTGCTTCGCTGGATCAAAACTAAGGTAACAGGTCAATCCCAGAAAAAACACAGGAATATAAGACAAAAAAACAAAACAATTAATGAATTAAATTTGGTGATTATTTTTTGACTGAAGATGGTGCAGCTGAATGACAGAAGATTCCCAAACTCTTTGAGGGAGATGCAGAAACTGATGAGCGCTTTTAAGACCTACAGAACTGTGGAGAAACCTCCCAAATACCAGGTCAGATGACCCTCACATTTTAAATTCAGCGTCCTCCTTTGTTCATCTCCTTAAAGTTAAGTCTTGTTTTTCCAGGAGCGTGGGGCAATTGAGGCCCACTTGTTCAGTCTGAGGACTCAACTGGCAGCCAACAACCAATGGGCTTATAATCCTCCCGAAGGTACAGAACACTAACAGTCAATTATAATATAAGGGCTGCTATGACAAAGATCGCTCATGCTGTTGTGTATTTGTAAAGGTAAAACTCTGAATGACATCGAGAAGAGCTGGGCTATGCTGGAGAGGGCGGAACATGAACGAGAGCGAGCCCTACAGGAAACGCTGCTACGCCTGGAAAGCCTGGAGCAACTTGCACAGAAGTTTGCCAGGAAGGTAACGCCACTCTACTCATATGAATGTCTTTGTTACAAGTCTCCCAGTTTTGATCATAATGTTATGGAGTTGCCTGACATATTCCTGAGTAAATCATAAAAACAACTTTGTGATTACAAATCACTGTGTTGTGCGTAGAAACAAATTTCAGTGAGTTTTGGTAATGTTAACCTCAAAATGGATGCGACCTTTTGACCACTCTTGTTCCACTGGACATATATGCAAGATCTTGTTATTTGTTATTAACAACCCCACAGAAAAGTAGATACACACAACACAACAAAAAAGTATAATTTTGATTTAATTTTAAACCTTTTTCTTTATTAAAATAGGTATTTCAGTTTGGAATATGATCAGAATGGAATGCCCTTTACTTAAAGCTGGGAAATGGGGACAAACGTGTTGCTGGGATTTTGTGAATTTGTTTGTGTAATGTTAACTTAAAATGGAAACCACTTTTTGGCATCAGAAAGGTTAATCTATGCAGACAAACAGCATTCAAAACCCTGGATCTGATATTCAACTTTCTGCCTGTTTTTATGGCTCCTTAAAAAATCCCCAATAGACTGCAAAATCCTTCCTTTTTGTCTTCTCAGGCAGCTCTGAGGGAGGGCTATCTTGAGGACACACTGCGTCTGATCCGGAGGCAGGACATCCGAGGTCTGTCCACACTGGAGGAGGCTCAGGCAGCTGGCCGGCGTCTGGAGGCCTTGGCTACCGATGCACTGGCCAGGGAGCCACGCTTCACGGCCCTCAGAGACATGGCAAAATCCATCGAGAAAGGAAACTACCACAGCAAGGAGCAGGTCATTGGGAGGTGGGAGGATGAAAACAATGACTTTGTGTAACACTCTTTTTGAAGGGAGAAGAACCAAGAAGTGACATTAATTTAAAAAAAAAAAACTTGTACTCTACATAATAATATATTTGTTTCTAAGGGAGGAGAACATTAGCCATCGATGGAAGGACCTGCTGCAGCAGCTCCAAGAACAGAGGATGCTTTTGGGAAATGTAGTTGAAACTCTGAGCATCCTGCGGGACATTGAGCTTGTCTCCCAGGAACTGAAAGAACTACAAGTGAGCTTATGATTCGAAATTTAGTTATAATGACGACACTGGAGTTTTACTTAGATTGTACTGTGAGAGAACTGGGGTGACTTTAATATTGCTGACTGTCCCCTCCCTTATCCCATCTTAGTCCCAAGCCAGTTCCTCTGAACTGGGGAAGCAGCTGACGGAGGTGGAGTCTCTTCTTCAGAAACAAGATCTCCTGGAAGCTCAGATCTCAACTCATGGTGAAACCATCACTGCAATCAGTAGCAGAGCTCTGAAGGTACGCTAATAATTGGCATCTCATGTCCTATTAGTTCACTGTTTGGAGAATTTGTAAGGGTGATTTCTGTCAGACTGACCCACCTCCTTTCTCTCACTCAGGCAAAAGTAAGGGATGGGCAGCAGATTCAGAGCAGAGTGAGAGCTCTTGACACTCAGTACAAATCGCTGGTGTCTCTCAGCAGCAGCAGGTTTGCTTTAGTTTTCTCATTTACAGCATGAGGGAAAAATCATTTATCAAGCAACAGGTCTAAACGTGTAACATTTCTTTGTATGTCCAAAATGGTGGAATAGAAAGTCTAAATAGTCTGATATTCTGTTGCTACATCTCTCACCTGTGCTCATCTTGCCTCACATCTTTCCTTTGCTGTGTCAGGAGGAGGCAGTTGGAGGCTCAGTTGAGGTTGTTTGAGTTCCTCTATGACTGTGAGGAGTTGGAGGCCTGGATCTATGAGCGCTGGTTAAAGCTGCAGACGGCTGGACTTGGAAGAGACCTCAACCACATCCAGGTGGCCGAACACAAGCACAAGGTGAGCCAGAAAGCTGTGTATACGGACACTTGAGCCCATAAGGTTCCATGCTTTGGACTTTGACACTGTGAAGAAGTTTTTTTTTTTTTTTTTTTTTTTACACAGGCACGTGTGTTACAGTGGTTTAAGGGTGTTCTTTGTGAATGTGTTAACTCTCAATTATGTGATGAAAAGTCAACTTTTTTGTGCCTCTTATGAAAAACACAGGATTCATATTATTTTAGATTGTCAAAACTTTAGAAATGTTACATTGTTATTCTTTATTAAAAAAAGAATAACAAAAGCTTATAAAGCAGATACATGTTTCTGTTTTTTTTAAATGCCTTAAACTAAAGCAAGACAGGACTCTAAGTCAAAAGATTAACTTAAAGAGGCAGCTTTTATTTGCTGTGAAAACTAAAACCAAAATACATGAACACCGTCACTCGGCGCAGACTGAAATCACAGAAAACTGAATTTTATTTACACACTCCCGGTTCACTATATACAGGTGAAGGAGAAGGGGGCCAAGGTTCCCAGGGGTACAGGGAAGAATCAGGAAAAGTGTCCTCTCTTGCTCCGCTCCACACGAACAGAACAATGCACTTGGAAAGGTCCTTTCCTCACACACGCCACTCTCACTGCGGCACTCACGAACAGGCTTCGGTGTCCAAACTTCCAAACCGAGCACGAAGAATCTGTATACAGAGATCAGGAATTAACACGGAAAACTTTCACGAAGAGAGCTCAAAACTGGCTGAGGCTAAAGTAGCACTGACGAGCGTTACTCAATAGTCCAGCAGCGAGGTGCTCTCAGTCACTGCCTTAAGTAGCGAGAGCAAACAAGGTGAGGAGCCACAGGTGATTGCTTGCAGGTGGTGAAGGCCAGGGGTGGGAGCCCACAATGAACTCCGCCCAGGCAGCAAGTAGAGAGAGAGAGGAGAGAGAGAGCGAGACAAAAGCAACACACATGTAGCCACACAGGGCCAGCCGGGCAGGCACCATGACAAACACTACACAAACAAAAGATAAACTAGAACTAACAACTGAGCTGGACTAGACTTGACAACATGGAACTAACACCAGAACACAGCTTACATGGAGAACACGACAATGAACAGAGTGAGACTAAACACTTAAATACAGATGAAGGATAACAAGGGGATGGAAACAGGCGGGAACACAGCTAGGACTAATCAAACCTGAGAAGACAGGGAGGAAGCAAAACTAAATACACTGAATACAGGACAAAGGACTATCAAAATAACACAAGAAACAAGAGACACACATTAAGACGTAAACACAGGGAACGGGGGGAGCGAGGGTCATGAAGGGGAGACAGATAATAATAATGGATTGGATTTATATAGCGCTTTTCAAGGCACCCAAAGCGCTTTACAATACCACTATTCATTCACTGGTGGAGGCAGCTACAGTTGTAGCCACAGCTGCCCTGGGGCAGACTGACAGAAGTGAGGCTGCCATATCGCGCCATCGGCCCCTCTGGCCAACACCAGTAGGCAAGTAGGGTAAAGTGTCTTGCCCAGGGACACAACGACCAGGACAGAGAGCCCAGGGATCGAACCGGCGACCTTCCGGTTACAGATGCGCTTCCCAACCCTCTGAGCCACGGTCGCCCGATGAATCAACACGGAGAGAATATTTAACATGCGCGAGAGACATGATAGACTACACAAGCAACAAGGACACAAAGGGAGGCCAAGCACAGAACCATGAATAATATTAACCACAAGAATGTAGAATATTGTGTAAAACATAATCTTAAAAAGAAGAAAACATAAATCCTGAGCTCCGACTCACGGCCCTGACAATATAGAGTTGGACCTACAATAGGTTGCATGCTGTGTGGATTGTTGAGGGATTATGGACCTAAAACCAGGATGCAGGAAACAGTGACTAAACTCTAAGCAAGTTTTAATGGTGATAACCCAGAGAGTAAACCAAGCCAAAATCCAGAAGCTGAATACAAAAAGCAGGAAATCCAAAACATCAAGGGACACTTGGCATCAAGGACGACAGAGACAATACAAGAGGTAACGAGGTAAATGTTCGTCATGTGACAATTGAAACTAATCTTGAGATAAGCGAAGTAGGAATAAAAACAAAGCACAAGTGACAAAAGACTATAAAAATAAAACAGGAAGTAACAAAACACCAACACAATGACTCTAACAAACAAACAAACAAACCGAAATAAGTGAAACAAAGGATTAAGTCATCGGGAATAACCAATCAAACTAAGACTTAAGAATTCAAAAATACACAAGCTGAAAAAAGTCCAAAGCCCAAGACCACGAAACAATATTTGCCAAGTTTTAAATGAAATGAAAATAACATAAACAAGAAACAGCAATGCAAAGAACAGAAGTGCATCTAAACAAAACAGACAAATAATAACATTTAAATTCTGGTTTAAGTCATGTAATCTGGTTAATCTGACTGTTTTTAGGCTGAACATGACCCCACCTTGAGAATAAAGGCAATTTAAATCTATCTTGACTCTAAATGCCACTTCAAATAAATCATAATTTGATAGGTGCTGGAGGCGGAGGTCCAGGCCCAGGAGTCTTTGTATAAAGGTGTCCTGGGTCGAGGTCAGGATCTGCTCTCCAAACAGAGTCAGGAGAATCAGCAAGCTGTTCAGAAGTGGATCAGGACTCTCAAGAAGCAGTGGAGCCACCTGACTGACGAGGTGACGGGACACCGCGACAGACTGCAGGCTGCCGCTACCATAAAGCAGGTGAATAATAGTGGCGAGCCGGCTCCTTATCGCAAGCCGTGGGGTTTTTTTCCCCTTTCTCTCACCCTCTCTCTCGCACATTTTCCCGCTTCACTCCGTACACGAGCCTTGTGATTTGCGCTGGGCAGAGGGGGGAGGGGCGGTAGTTACACTCGCAGTAGCACAGGAACAGAGCGGGAGGGAGAGAGAGAAAGAGAGCCAGGGACAACAACGTCACATTAGAAAGGTATAGTAATCATCCACAACTATTTTCAGTTGCAGATGATAAAGGATTCAGAAAGTTTATTCATGCAGGTCCATATGACAGAGAATGTGCATCTTCTTTTTGTTTTCATATTATAATTTATATTTAATTGTGTTGTGGTTTGCAGCGTGTTGTGTTGTTTCACTTTAAATTTGTTTAAAAGGAAAAAGCTGAAAATTTAAATAGTTAAAAGTTGAAATGTGAATAGTTGTTTTTGTTTTATATGATTTATTTATTACATTTTATGTGGAGTGAATAAATAAAAGTATATTTAAGTAGCTCTGTTTTGAAGTTCAGTTAACGCTAGAAATGTGTTTTGGAGTTTGTACGTGCTTTTTCTCTAGGGGCCACTGTGTATATTTATATTTATATATAAATAAAACCACTTTTTTTTTTACATTAGTAATTCCTTTTGTGCATAATTTCATATTATTGTTAATAATAAATTAATTAAATCAACAAAACAACCTGAAGAGCCGGTTCGGAGCCGAAAGAGCCGGTTCTCTAAAAAGAGCCGGAAATCCCAACACTAGTGAATAATGTGTCATTAAAGGCAGAGAAGAAGAAGAGAAGATTGAAAAAAAGCTGTTTTTGTTTAGTGTAGCTTCTTTTTGTCTGTAAACTCCTATCTCTGCTCTCAACAAACACATTTTTGAGGTATTACTGTTTTTTTACAGTTAGTCTAATTATTTTGCAGTCAGATTTTTACCTGTGTGCTGCTGTTATTGTGTAGGTTCTAACCATCCTGTCACGTATGTTATGTTTTATTTTCTTGTGTGGTCTTTTGGAACCTGCTCTTGATCTCTATAGACATGCTCTAAGACAGTAACCTTTATTTCTCTGACCAGTATTTTGCAGATGTGGAGGAGGCTAACTCCTGGCTAGGTGACAGGAAGCCACTGCTGATAAGCGAGGATCATGGGAAGGACGATTCCAGCACAGCATTGCTTCTTCAGCGCCACCTTCGTTTGGAGAAGGAGATGGCAGTGTATGCCTCAGAGATAAAGAGACTGTCAGAACAGTCAAAAACTGCAGCACAGCTGACGGCGCTGACTGCACAGCAGGTCATTCTGCATGCTTTATTCAGATATTGTTTCTGTCAGATAGATTTTCCTAACATTTCTTATGTGTAGTTATTAATGAGTCCTTACTAAAATAATATAACATAGTTGAAAGATGTTTCTCCTATGTGTTCCTTACTTTTTTAATCTTCATTTATTGGCTGTTATAAACTGTGATATCAATAAACTGACAAATAGCTAATATTGGCTCTACAACACTGACTGTGATAGTAGATGCAAAGCTATTGGCAATATTTCCTCATCCCTTGTAGGCAGAGCCTCAGCAAGGCAAGATGATCCAATATAGCGATTCCTCTGGGGAAGAGGAGAAGGAGTGGCAAGGAGCACGAACCTCACTATCCAGTACCAGAGGTGGGAAGGGCCCTGTAAACATCCCCCCTCAGAAAGAGGAAATCAAGGCCAAAGTCCGCTTCAGATACAGCAGAGGTACTGGAGTACTTAGTGTCACTGTTGTGTTGCATAGCATGATAAGGAGTGACTGCTACTCATACATGAAAACACAAGCCTATATTCTGCACTAAATAATCTGCCAGCACTACACTGTGTTATTTCATTTCTCATTTTGATACAGAATGCCCATTTTTCTCTTAAAACAGAAATCTTACTCAGGTCAGACCAAGTCACATAAAAAATATTCATCAAATATTTAGGCAAATTTATAGAGATGCTCTTGTTTACAGAGAGGACCAGATAACAGGCCAATTTAAGAGGAAAAATATCATGCATTATGTCCTTCTCTATTAACCATGTCTGAAAGTGGCTTTACTCCAATTCGCTATTTTCTGTAACACAGGCCAGGTTAACACAGGTTTACTCTGTGGTTTACTAGGAAGAGCAGTAATCTGTGCTAAAAAAAATGATGACAGAAAATAAGGAAAAGCAGATTATGTAAATTGTAACTGTTTTCATTTTTGCATTTCTAAAATGTAGCCAAGTGTGTTGTGATGAACAGACATGGGCTATATCTGAAATCACACAACAGAAAAACACATAGTAGATACTTTATTGAAATGTAAAGTATAAACTAACCTGATTTCAGGTCAGTTTACGTGGGACCGCAATGAGATTGTGACCATCATCAGCAGTGAGCCGGATGGAGACAGAGTTGTGGCCAGAGACAGTGGAGGAAACCAGCAGTCCATTCCCAAAACCTACCTGAATATGCTGCCATCCAGTGTATGATCAATACTGAACCAGTTCTTTGGTCAGATTATGAAAATATCACATCTCGTTAGTGGACATGCTTTGTTAGTGGGCAGTGTGAAAATAAATTATTATGTATTTTTTTAAAGTCTCAATAACTTTATCACACCCTCTTCAGGTTCCTCCACCCACTCCACCTGCCTCAGCCAATGATATGCCAGAAAGCTCAAGCAAGAAACTGAGTCGTCCAAGGCGAAAACGCTCTATGCGTCGCGGCACAGCTGAGATCCAAACCACATTACTGCCAGACCCCGAGTACCAGAGAGATACTGTGGAGAGCACACAGGGCAGGTTGGACCAAGAGTACAATTTCTTGTACAACCTGGTGAAGGTGAGAGAAAGGAGCAGTATACAGAATATAAACTGTTTACTTAGTTATGTGGGAGGTTGTATTAAGATGACAGATTATTATACAGAAAAGGACATTCAGAGTAGCTGTATTCTAAAATCAGATTTATATTTATATTGGTTTTCAGACAAAGACAAAGAGCCTGGAGGAGATACTGCGTCTTCATCGATTTTACAACAGCTGCCATGAGTTTGAGTCATGGATGGAGGATAAGGAGAACATCCTCAACACCTTCAGCACTGATGGTGACAATCTAGCAGTGGTTCAGGCCAAATATGAGGTGAAGACTTCTCCAGAAAAATATTTCCAAACATATCGTACAAGACTTATCCTACAAACTGAAAACAGGGGATAAACTCATCTGGGTGAAACAAATGTCCCAATACCTCATGATTTTTCTAATTTGTTTAATCCTTAAATGCATCTCTTAAAAAACATTAAGACTACGTCACAGCCCATCATTTTGTTCAGTTAAGATCTCAGCATAAACTGTAACAGCAGTCAGGTGTTTCCTTTTGCTGATGGTGGGAAATTTAGCCTTGTGGGTTTACTTATAAATGAGTAAATAATAGCACATGGTGTTGTCGAAGCTGGCTAGATGGATTCTGATACCAACAGATTTGTAGATGAAGATCAACCTTAAGTTAAGCTCATAAATCATATTATTTATTGGGAAGGAGAAACTTTTAACCTCTAAAGCCAGAAAATCACAGGGTAAATACTGGCTTCCAATTGTCACTTCTGTAGGTTAATCAGAAATGAAAAAATGTGGCTTTAGGTAGAATACATCTGATAAGGCAGCAGTTCATATTAAGTGCCAATGAGTTTTCACTGATTTTCTTCTGTAGCATCAATCTTTCGTTTCAGTGATTTTCACCCAAACAACAACTTTTTTTTGTTGCTTTTTTAAATGATTAATTTGAGATTTTTTCTGACTTTTGGACATATTTAAGAGGCCTGATTTTTTTTATTTTCACTTCTTCAGAATAAACTCAGACAAACTCAGATTCATAAAATATCTGAATACTTTGACTCACCCTTGACTTTCTGTTTTAGAACTTTCTGACTGAGTTAGCGAGCGGACGAGGTCAGCTGGACGATATCATCAAAATGGCAGACGAGCTGGTGAAGAACCAGCACAGTAAACAGAAAGAAATCCAATCCAGAAAGAGGAGTGTTTCCAAAAGGTGCAAAAAAAGTCCAAATCACTCAAATCAGCACAAGGACCCAGATACACAAACTAGATCCTGTGAAAAAGTGATGTCTCATTGTTACTGTTATTAAAATGACAACAGTGAAGGACCCAGTAACAACGGCTTGCTATTATAGCAACATGCTATAATAAAGTGCCTGGGCAGGACAGCATTTTGGACAGTTTTGGGGCGCCAGAAGCTCCTGATGACTGTGTGACAACTGTGTGATAGTTCTTGGTTCTTGGTGTGTTGCAGGTGGGATCGGATTCAGCAGCTGAAGGATGACAAAGGAAAGGAGCTGCTGAGTACGGCAGATGTGCAGTCCTTCCTGCATAGCTGCGAGGAGGCTAAAGCTCAGCTGCAGGGTGAGCTGTCCCAGCTTGACGAAGTGGACGTGGGCTGCACCCCCTTCACTCTGCTTGCTGAGGAGAAGAACCAGATTCGGGCCCTTAGAGACATCAAGATGCTTGAGGGCAAGATTGCTTACCTGAAGAGCGTTGCAAAGATGTATGGTCTGATATAGTCTGTGGGATTTTGAGGTGTTCTGCAGTTGTCTCAGTAGGCCTTAATTTAATCAAAAACACTTTAAAAGTAATTGATGGTTACAAATATGTTAATCAATCAATCAATCAATCAATCAATCAATCAATCAATCAATCAATCAATCAATCAATCAATCAATCAATAATAATAATAATTTTAGAAATGTGTGTTGTAATTTGATAGAAATAAGTCATTGTTGTTTTGTATTTGATGTTCATAATGATTCATCAGTGATGTGATATATGTATATAAAGGAAATTAAAAGAGCCATAGACGTGACACTGAAGGTAGCTGCAGTTTTCCTGAGAATAGTTTTGTGAATTACTTTCACATGAATGGGCTCATGGATTGGCCTACACTGGTCTGTACCTTGGTACATGGGCTTTGATGTGTTCATGTGTTCACCGCTCTCCAAATATCTATTACAGATGATAATGGTATCTTACTTTACATTACGAATAACACAGAGCTGCATTAGTCTGAAAGGTTTCAAAGTTAAAACACTTTACATGAACTTCTAGCTAAAAGTGTTTTTTCTAAAGAAACTTCACGGTGGAGTACATCTCCATTCATCTCCACTCAATTTGCTCACATCCTGTGTTACAGGAAGCAGGACTGCAGTCCGGCAGAGAGTGCGGCCATTATGGAGGAGGTTCGAGGTTTGGAGGCTCTGCTGGATCAGGTGACATTTTCCTTCTTTGTTTTAGACTGACTGGAGTGTATTAGCCAAGAGTGAAGGTGTTCAAACTTCAGTCTGTGTTCCTACAGAAGATCTCTTTTGTGCTTGCAACATTTCGTGTTGATTTGCATTGACACTGACATACTCGACATCATTCTTTTATTAATAAAAGTGAAGATCTCTTATTTTTTGTATGTACAAAGCAGGTGGTATAAGACTGAAAAGGTACAGCGTTTGGGTCATTATAATTAGGTTTGATATTCTGATGAACACAGACTCAGAGGCTGTTACTGTTTTATTATTGTTATATTATTATTAAATGTTTTGAGTAAAAAAATCTAAAATAAAACTACGAACTAAAAAAAAATACATTTTTGTACAGGTGAAATGTCAAGCATCAGACAGACAGCACCAACTGGAGGAGGCCCGCAGGCTGCAAAGTTTCCAGCAGGAGGCCAAGGAGCTAGAGCGCTGGGGGGGTTCAGTTCAGGAACGGCTCCTGCAGGAGGAGACAGCGAGCGATGTGGCCTCGGCTGTCACGCTGCTGGAGCAACACCAGGAGCTGCAACTAGAAATGGAGACACAGAGGAGCAGGTAAATAGCAGAAACTGTGCACAGCATTCAGTGCTTAGTGTGTTGTTGTTCCATTCATTGAATTGCATTCATTTAATTCTATTTAATTTGAAATAAATTAAATCTGCAGCATCAGTAAATTTAAATGCAAAGTGTTTTAGCAGTGGTTAATAGGAATTTAAAAAAATTATGATGAAAATTATTATGATTAAAAATTATGCTAAAGAATGTTCAAATCATTAATCCTCTGCACATATTTTTTTAACTACCATAACGCTTGTCCATAATGAAAGCCATTTCTATCCCCTTCTGACAAAGGGATTGAGAAGATTGGCTCATGGACATCATCATTTAAGTGGACTGTGTCTCTCCCACTGTGTGTGTTGTTGCCAGGCTGAAGGAGATGGAGAACTTAGGGAAATCTCTGCTGCAGGGATCATCCAATGGGAAAATAGGCGGTGTTGACATCCAACAAATCCTTGATAATCTCAGTGCTGAAAGGAGTAGGCTGGAGACGCTGTGGGCTAGTAGAAAGAAGCATTTGGAGCAGGGTGTGGAGCTCCAGAGGCTGAACCAAGAGGGAGACCGGATTGAAGCAGCATTGTCTGGACATGAAGCCCGACTAAAAGTCCAAGATCTTGGGGTGAGGGTGCTCATTTCTCACCTTTTTACATGGTCCAGCTCCTTGAAATGTTACCCTTAAATTTGAATCCTAAATAAGTATTTATAGAAATCTGTGAAATTGCTATAAGTAAAGATTATAAATAGGATGTTCTATCATAAAAATGTCAAAATAATGATTACATTTATTGATGCAGGACTCGGTAGACAGTGTGCACAGTCTACTGGGGCGACAAGATGAACTTGAAAGTCTTCTTATGGCTTTGGATCAAAGAGTGGATAAATTCGCTGAGCGCAGCAAGGAGCTTATCGACCAGCAGCACTTTGCTTCAAAACAGTAAGAAAACACAGCAGAAATTGTTCCATAAAGTGGGCTGTCAACTCCATAATTTAATTCTTATGCTGTACTGGAGTAACTTTGCATATTTTGCTTTTAAAAATAATCCTTCTTTGCCTAATCTTAAACCTATTTATCATATACTGAGCCATGGCGTAGTCCCGACATTCATCCATGTAAACAAGCTGATTTAGTTCCCTTTATGCCAACTTTCTTCTCATGGACTGTTCCCAGCATACAGAAGGTTTTAACAGGGTGGGTGGGACTAAAGAAATAAGAGTAGAAGAAGTTAGGGATAAATAGAATTGGTTCTATGAATTGGGTACTATCACTCTGTTTGTAAATCGTTCTACAAGTAGAACACACATCACTGCAAAATTAGCATAATGCAAATCTAAGATAATTAAAGCTCATCATCTGCTTGCTACTTCAACCTAACAGGAAAGCTTTGATGCAGTATGCACACAGTTTGCAGAGCACCAAGGCTGTTTCTTTTCCATACGACATGAAACCGTGCCATCTAGCTGTCAAATAAATTACAACACCACATGTATACCATCTCTGCTACTTTGATTAAATGGCTTGTGAGGGGTCATGCCAATCATCTTCTCAGGCAGATGGCGGGGAACTGTTTACATTATTAGTTAAATTGTCCCTCTAACAACCAATATGTTCAAGTCAATAACCTTAAAATAAACTGCGTCACCAATCTTTAAAACCTCAATGTTTTTCTTACAGCATTAAGGAACGGAGCAGGAGCATCCAAAAAGCCAACAGGAGGCTGAAAGAGAGCTGCAGGAAGAGGAGGAACCTACTGCTGGACTCCAAGAAATACCAGGTACTATTGTCAAAATGCTAAAAACAAGAAAACATACTTTATGTTGTTTATTGTGTCGAGTACCTGCACTGATCATAATATCTACAGGAAAACGCTCAGATGAATGTTACAAGTTCTTTAATAATAATTATAAGGGTGAATTTGCCTGGTGTTTCGTGTGGCAGGAGTTCCAAAGAGATGCGGATGAGCTGCTGTTGTGGATGGAGGAGAAGTTTAAGGTGGCAGAAGACGAGTCCTACCGAGACCCCACAAACATCCTCTGGAAGCTGAAGAAACATGAAGCGGCTGAGAAGGAGATGCAGGCCAACCAAGTCTGGTTGGATAGACTTGTTCAGGTAAAACACCCCTAACTTTTCACCCAGCATGATGACTTCTGTAGAGGAAACAACAAGTGTTTGACAGTGACTCTGGCAACACATGCACAGTTGCATATATTGAAAAGACGACTTGCACTTTGGTGAGATGTCACCTTCAGTACATATGTGTGTGTTTGTGATAAGCTGGGAGAGGAGATGATTGCTGAAGAGCACTACAACAGTCAGAGCATCAGCAGGAAGTCTTCTCAGCTCACGAGTCAGTGGAAAAGACTACAAGACAAGATGGCTGACAGGGGGGACAGGCTGAGACAGGCGGGGCAGCAGGAGCAGCTGATGGAGCTTTTGCAGGTAAACTACTGATGGAGAAACTGGATAAGACGTTTGTGTGGTGCAGTTCAGTGATGTTGGTGCCTTTTATGGCGTTTTGAGGAAATTACCAGACAAATAATGCTGTCTGTGTAGCCCATCCAAGAAGTTTGTACTTCAGTCTTGATTTGTGAGATTGTAGCATTTATTAATGCTAGGTAATCAGTTAATTAGCACTAATATATGTATGAATGCACTTTGCCAACCTAGCCTACCTGCATTAATTGATAACTTTACACCCCAGCCTCTTGTATGCCTCAAATATGCTCACCACTGGCTCCCAAAAAAGCAAGAAGAACACAGCTTGACTTTGAGACTTCACAAGCCTTTAGGTGACACTATAACTGACCCCTGTCTTTTATATACAGTTCATAGTTTCTGGCCAAATTTAAATTTACACTAATTTTAGAGGTCAACTGGAGTAAAAAATTAAAGACCATCCTTCCCAGGAGAAGTAATTGCTGTCCAAACAGAGCTCCATTCTCAGAAAAATCTTGTACTTTTCCTCCTCAGGATGCCAAGCTGAAGATTGAGGCCATCCAGTGGATGCTAAACAATGCTGCCAAAGGTCACGACCTGCGCTCCAGTCGACAGTTGCTGAAGGTGAGGACAGGCCTGCATTGATTTAATGACTCTGGGTTTTACAGTTAGACATCAGTGAGTACTTTGTGTGTGTGTGTGCTCATGCAGGAGCATCAGCAGCTGGAGCAGGAGGCCAAGGAACTGGCAGAGAAGATCAACTCTATTGTGAGCAGGGCCAAACACCTCGCTTCCAATCACTTTGACTCTCAAAGGATCCTCCAGGAGACAGACGCCTATCTCACTTTGTAAGTTACCTTGAATCTTCAAACAAATAGATATTTGCATTTATTGCATTTAGAGTAACTTCAGTGCATATAAAACCAAGTGCATGGTGAAGAAAAGAAAGGAGTACAAACAAGATCAGGTCAGGGTGTCTCAGCTAAGAAAACGATCTGTTGAAGTAAAATGACAAAAGGCAAAATAACAACAAAAATAAAAGTGGATGACAAGGACGCTCACACGGACACAAAATCTGAAAGACACAGATACATAGAATACAATTTCCTATGTCACTTCAGGTTTTATCTGTCATTGTCTCCTTTGGGGTATTTTATTCTGTGTGTAATTAAAAAGTAATAACATAAATATAGTCCAGTGCTCACTTTAGGTTATCATCATCTTGACTTTATAACCTCTGTGTGGCAGATTCAAGTCCCTGCAGAAACCTCTGGACGAGCGTCGAGCACAACTGGAGGCATCTGTGTTGCTGTTTGGATTTTATCATGATGTGGATCTTGAGCTCAACTGGATCTCTGAGCATGTTCCTGCCTCTGGATCTACAGGATATGACAAATCTCTGGCTGGGGCCCTCAGCCTCATGCAGAAACACAAGGCACGAGCTGGGTTGCAGTTCTTTATCTATAAAACCTCCCCTTTTCCTTCATTTGTTAACTGAGCTGAGAGCTCAGTTGGAATTACAATGGACTCAAGTGATTTGACACATTCACAGGGCTGTGTTTTACTTAACATTTGCTCATGTACTCGTGTGTTAACCCAGGAGCTGCAGGCCGAAGTGAACGCACATAGAAAACACCTGAACCACATTCTGAAGAAAGGGCGCAGCCTAGCCAAACCCAACAAGTCAGAGAGAGAGGAGGTGCTGCAGAGGTGTGGTTGTTTTTTTTTGTCATCAAAAAAAAGTTTCATGTGCATTGGTGCATTGTAGTGAATCTATCCTACGCTGACATTGCTTATAAAATGCATTAAAACTAGAAACCATCACAAAATAAGCATTTACTTAGACAAGGAAAATGGTATGTTAAAGGATAAGTTATAATATAATAAAATTGATAAAACATTATCAAACACATTACCTTAGTCCACCAAATAATGAGAACAAAATTGACACCATTGAATGATCTTGTCCAAATAGCTTGGTAATCACTCCTGTCTTTGAGGCCTAACACTGATGTAAAAATGGGATTGTTTTCAAAACCCAGCACACTGATCTGAAGGAATAAATTTAAATTTAATGACATTAAAACGACCAATTCCATGAGAGAAACTGGTCCTTTCTCTAAATGTAGGATTTTTGATTTTTAGACTGCAAAGATGCCATTGGCTCCAATGTATGCAAATGTTTCATAATTTTTGGGAGGGGTTATGTTATATAGCTGGGCACTTGACACAACTTTGAGAAGGTATTTGTCTGTACTGTTCAAGTGATCTGTAATAAGTACGGTTTCAGTTTGGACCAAATGTGTCCTGGCTTTGTGGAGCAGTGTAAATTTCTGCTGTTTTGCAGGTGCGACCACCTCAATACAGAGTGGGAGGAGCTTGAGGATGCCTGCAAAAAGAGAGCAGCTCACCTCAGCAAGGCTATTACCAGAGAACAGGTGAGATGGACAAGGATATTTTATATTGGAGGGAAGTGAAAGTCTGATACTGACACTCCATCATCAAAATACTTTTAAGTAAGACACTTAGTTCTGCAGCTGTCTAACTGGTCATTTAGAGTTAAATTTTGAAGTATTTCATGCTAAACCCAACCAAAACAAAACATAAACTGCTACATTTTCTGTGTGTGCCTCATCTCTAGCTGCTGTTGGACTGCTCAGAGCTGGAGTCCAGACTCGCAGAGATGCTCAGTCTGGTGAACATCGACGACTATGGCAAAAACCAGCTGGCCACACAAAGCCTCATTACTAAACACCAGGTATATCACACACTCTCACTGTGTACACTTTGCTTAGTCGGAAAAGGACCTCATATGATTCCCCTATCGATTCCTGACGAAGAAATCAAAGAACAGCGTGCAGATTGTACAACAACAGTGGACTGGTGCCAGCTGAACTACCTCCAGATCAACGCCAGTAAAACCAAGGAACTGGTGGTAGACTTCCGCAGGCACAAGCATTCCCCACTTCAACCACTGAACATCCAAGGTATGGACATTGAGGCTGTGGACAGCTACAGGTACCTTGGTGTTCATCTGAACAACAGACTGGACTGGACTCATAACTCAGACGCCCTCTACAGGAAAGGGCAGAGCAGGCTGTACCTGCTGCGGAGACTCAGGTCATTTGGAGTGGAGGGCCCACTCCTGAAGACCTTCTATGACTCTGTTGTGGCTTCTGCTATCTTTTATGGCGTGGTCTGCTGGGGCGGCAGCATCTGTGCTGGGGACAGGAAGAGACTGAACAGGGTGATCCGAAGGGCCAGCTCTGTTCTTGGATGCCCTCTGGACCCAGTGGAGGTGGTGAGTGACAGGAGAATGGTGGCTAAGCTGTCATCCCTGTTGGACAACATCTCCCACCCCATGCAGCAGACTGTGACAGCACTGAGCAGCTCCTTCAGTGGGAGACTGCGGCACCCACGGTGTGGGACGGAGAGATTTCGCAGGTCTTTCCTCCCCACTGCTGTCAGACTCCATAATAAAAACTTTAACTGATCAAACACACACATCCATACATATGCAATAATACTAAGTGCAATAATCCTTTCTGTCATCGTTGTATTTTTACTCAGTTGTATATAGCATTTGTATTTGTATTCTATTTTTATCTTATTGTATATTTATTTTATTTTATTCCACTGTATGTAGTATTTTATTTTATTCTATTCTGTACAGCTGTGTACTGTATTTATTCTTATTGTATCCTAATTTTTGCCTCATAACTTTTGCACTGTCCACTTCCTGCTGTGACAAAACAAATTTCCCACGTGTGGGACTAATAAAGGTTATCTTATCTTATCTTATCTTATCTTATCTTATCAGTAAACAGTGTCCTTGTGTTCGTGCAGGTGCTCGAAGGACAACTGGAGGTGTTGGAAGCTGAAGTAGAGGCATTAGGAGACCAGGTAGAGCAGGCCATTCAGAACTGGGGCCTGGAGGAGCTCAGCAGACCCTACAGTCGAATCAGCAGCCTGAACCAGCAGCTGCAGCACCAGGCTGGACTCAGGTGAGCACACACTCATATTGTTGGATTACTTTCTCTGCTTTTCTCTCACAGATTGTTTTTTGAGTCTCTCTCTTTCGTGATATTTTTCCTAATCGTTGTTTGTTTATCTATTTACTGTGTTTTTTTCTTTTTTTTTCTCCTTTTTTTGTTTGGAAAAAGTGCAATATTTACATAAGGCAGTTGTTAATTACAAAAAATGTAGAAAGAACATACGTATGTGACAGAGAGAAAGACTTATACAGTAAAGTGCTGATCTTTAATATCTTGACCTGCTTCTAGGTGATTTATATCATTTTTCTCCAAACAAAATGATATTAGTTCAGATGATCTGTCTCTGACTTAGCGGTTTTATTGATGCCTTTTTTATTGTGTCTGTGTACTTGTGTGACTGACCACCCTAATGTCTCCTGTTAGGGGTCAGAAGCTGAAGGAGGTCCTTCAGCTCCATGAATTCAGGCGAGAGTCTTCAGAGCTGGAGGACTGGATGAACCAGCAGAGACAAACAGCTGAGTCTCAGGACCTGGGCAATGATTATCAGCATGTTCAGGTTACATTTCATTGCACAATGATTGTAAATATTAATTCTAGTGTGTTTTTGGAGGCTGAAGGTAGCTGTAGAGTTGTGTGTGTCTGTGGATTATGTATGCAGTTGGTTCGAGGGAAGTTTGAAGGCTTCCTGAAGAAGCTGGAGGTTGGCGAGGAGAGACTACAGAACTGCAGAAACCTGGCTGTTCAGCTGATCCACAACAAACACCCACAGAGCTCTGCAATCAAAGACACTCTGCAGCAGCTTAGGTAATCACACAGCCACAGTAGTGAGTCAGTTATTTTATCTGTGAGGCATCCTATTCCTTTTCTTGTTTGTCTTAAATGCTGAAATTGTTGGTTTTGCGTTTCAGTAAGCAGTTTTTATCTGTGTCCGTCCATCCATTCATCTTCTTCCGCTTATCTGGGGTTGGGTTGTGGGGGCAGCAGTCTAAGCAGAGAAGCCCAGACCTCCTTCTCCCTGGGCACCTCCTCCAGCTTGTCTGGGGGAACACCAAGGGGACCACCCAAGTAGAAGCCTTATGCCACTTGCCTACGCTTAGAAATTCTGTCCATAAAAAATATGAACAGAATCGGTGACAAAGAGCAGCCCTGGCAGATTCCATCACCCACTGGATGGACTGACTTATTACACTGACTTATTGCCAGATATGCGGTTCAAGCTCTTGCAATCGTTGTATAAGGATCAAATGGGCCAGACACCCCATACTCCCAAAGCACCTCCCACAGGACAAGCCTACAAAACACATGTAGACTGGTTGGGCAAACTCCCATGCACCCTCAATTGTCCTCGAGAGGATAAAGAGCTGGTCCAGTGTTCAATTACCAGGACGAAAATTGCATTATTCCTCCTTTATCCGAGGTTCCACTAATGGACACACTTTTCTTTCCAGCACCATGATATAGACTTTCCCAGGGAGGCTGAGGAGTGTAGAGGAGTGATCCCCTTATAGTTGGAACACACCCTCTGGTTTCCATCTTAAAGATAGGAACTACCACCATGGTCTGCCAATCCATAGGTACCGCCCCTGATCTCCAAGAAACATTGTAGAGGCGTGTCAACCAAGACAGCCCTACAACATCCAGAGCCTTCACAAGCTCAGGGCAAACCTCATCCACCCCAGGGGCCCTGCCACCAAGGAGTTGTTTAACTGCCTCAGTGACCTCACCCCAGGAGTTTCTCATCCCCAGAATCTGCTTCCTCCATGCCAGTGGGATTAAGGAGGTCCTCGAAGTATTCCTTCCATCACCAGACAATGTTTTCAGCTGAAGTGCATGTAGAGCACTGCTTTCTCCTCCTGAGCCTTAGGGTTTGCCAGAACATCTTCTAGGCAGTCTAGAAGTCTTTTTCCATGGGCTCTGTCACAGTTCTGGGTCATTCTGACCCAGCATTTTGGGTTTCTTATTTTTTGGTTTGACTTTGTATTTTTGGTTATTTTCTTGATCTCTTGTCAGGCTTAGATGATGATGATGATGATTATTATTATTATTATTATTATTATTTAGTATGTTTCAGTTATTCTTGGTGAGGGATTAGTTCTTAGGTTTGTGTCTCATGTTTAGTGTAGGCTTAGTTCTGTGTCTAGTCTGCGTCTTTGTGTAGTTGTTTCTTGTTTCCTGTTTTATTGTGAAGGTCCATGTCTTATGTGAGTGTATTCAGTTTTGCCTCCCTTGTCTCGTCAATTACTTCCAGCTGTGTTCCCCACCTGTGTGTAATCTCCCTGTGTTCTTCTGTGTGTATTTGAGTCGTGTCTTCTTATGTTGTAGTCACTGGTCTGTCTGTTAATCTCCTGTTAATCTCCCGTGTATCAACTGCGCGTGTCCCCCTGCTATCAACCTTCATGTGCCTCCGCTCACCCTTGTTTGTGTTCATGTTTAGTAGTTTATTTTCTCAGTATTGTTTGCAGTTTTCTACTTGTGTTTTATTTTTTACAATAAACCTCCTTCACACCTCCACAAGTGCCTGCACTTGGATCCTCCTTTATTATTCTCCACACAGCTCATTCTGTTCGCCATGACAGGCTCTCCGAACGGCTCCTATATCTAAGTTTTTGCTTCAGCTACTGCACGAGTTGGCCTCTCGGTACCTATCAGCTGGGTCCAAAGTCCCACATGCTAACCAAACCCAATAGGACTCCTTAAGCCTGGTGGCTCTCCTCACCTTTGGTGGTCCATCATTCGGTTGAGGGGTTGAAACCATGACAGGCACCAACCACATTGCGGCCACACCTCAGCCACTGCTTGGGCAATGGAGGTGCTGAACATGGTTCATTCAATGTCCCCAGTATCTCTCTGAATGCTGTTGAAGCTCTGCCGGAGGTGTGAGTTGAAGATCTCCTGGACTGGGGCCTAAGGCGTTCTCAGCAGACCCTCACTATATATTTAGGTGCGCCAGGTCTGTCCATAATCCTCCCCCGCCACCTGATCCAACTCACCACCAGTTGGTGGTCAGTTGACAGCTCAGCCCCTCTCTTGTGTCCAGAAAATATGACTGCAGGTCTGATGATACGTTTACAAAATCAATCACTGACCTTGGCCAGGACCCAAGCTGTGTGTTGAGATGAGCCCGACTATATCTAGCTGGTATCTCACACATAACTCAGGCTCCTTCCCCACCAGAGAGGTGACATGCCATGTCCCAATCGCTAGTCTCGGTAGACTGGGATCGGTCCACCAGGGCCTCTGCTCCTGGCCGCCACCCAACACACATTTGCACCCGACCCTACGGTGCCTCTGGCGGGTGGTGGGCCCATATCCCTTTTTCCTGGCCAGGCCAGGGCTAAGACACTTGCCCTCGGGCACCCTGCCCTTGTCTGGTTCTAAGGCGGGGCCCTGGTAACCCAATCCCGGGAAGGGTGAACTGTTCCCTCGATCTTCCACTCATAGGGGTCCTTTGAATCGCTCTTTGTCCACCTTATGTTAGTTTTGATATTTATGTTTCTGCAGTGCATCCTGGGAAGATTTGAAAAGCTTGGCCAAGGAGCGTCAGGATCAGCTACAGAAAGCTGAGGAATGTCACCGCTTTTACCAAGACCTGAGTGATGCGCTAACTCTCATCCAGGTAGCTATGTTCATGTAGAAACTGCTGTCTGACTCCTAGACATGTCAGCTGGGTTTAGATCTAATTACTTTGAAGACATCAGATCCCATGAATGGATTATGGCATTGAAATATGGAAATATAAAATGGAAGATGGAAGACAGCACACCCATCAGAAGCACGCTCATTCAGTTCAGTTCAGTTCAGAAGAATGAAGAACTGTTAATAAGAGGAAGGGGACTGGCTGTCCTCCCCTAAATTATTATAGAAAATAAGACATTCTGATTTGGTTTTAGGATTATCTGTGAAAGATGGGAGATAAAGTGTACATCTATAGATGGAACCAAAGAAGGAAAACACTGCAGTGCTAAACTTTGAGATATCATTCAGATCACACAAATATAAAGCGTTTAGCTTGTTTGACACGAACCTAACCAGCCCCGCCTCAGTAAACCACAATGAGAACAGGCGAAGAAACATGGAGGTGGGAGGGAGCTGACAGCTGGAGCTGTAAAAGTTTGAAAGGTGCAAAAGAGATTGCATTTATAGAAACGCTATGGTGTACAAAACTAAACCCCATCCAGCAACATAGACACAGCTGTAAAGAATTTCACTTCATCTATTTGTCATTGTATCTGAAGTACAAAGAACAGAAGGAAGATTAAAAGTCCAGATCACAGACTATACATGAAATGTGAGCATCAAGTAAGTCTGGCTATCAATCTACATCAATAAATGGTATGGTTGCAACACAAGCATAGACATACAGTATCTGTTGATTATTAGTAGCTAACAGACTAAAAACCACTCGACACAGCTGAATCCTATTTCACAGTTACACTACACATCTGTCATTTTCTACTTTATGGGATAATGTTTTTTTTATCGATTATGTTATTGATGGTCCCCTGTGCAACACTTAAAACTTCTGTTCCTGTCTCTCTCTGTAGGAGCGACACAAAAGCATCCCTGACGATGTGGCAAAGGATTTGCATGGAGTGACGTCACAGCTGAGGAAACATGAGGCCCTGCTCCTTGAGCTTGCCACCACAGAGGAACAGGTGATAAAGTGCTAAATTTGTTGACCAAGGACATCATATAGTTAAGAAAAGATGTTTAACATCTGATTCAGCTTAAATGAAAAGATCACCATGGAAACAGTCTCTTATGGGTTGTTAACAGGCTAGGGAGCATTTCTAAAGTGGTTTACAGTCAGTCTAACCTACAGAATGTATTTTGCTGCCCAGTGATACATAAAATCACTCTGAAAGGCGGCATTTCTGACATCATTGCTACAGAAATGTAGCAGAAGGAAAATCTGTTCAATACTCACTGATGATGAGCTCAATAAGACAGAGTGGAAGATGCTGTCTGACAAAATGACAAAGTGCCATTGGCTGGAATGAGACATCTTAATGTATCTTATCTCTTTCATTTCTATAGTTTCAAGAGCAGCTGGACTCTGTTGAGTCTGTCCTGGAGCTTTGCACACCCGAACTGAGTGTTCGCCTACAGAAAGTGCAGGACGAGGTGGTGGAACGGTGGGAGGAGCTGCGACTTCTTGCTGAGAAGAGAGAAGAGGAGCTCAAGCGGGCTTCCCAGCGATATCAATTCCTTAGCATGGTGAGGACAGATAGATACAGGATGCAGGTCTGAAAGTCTAAAGTAGTACTTCCTTGAGTTGTTCAGTAGATGTTTTGCATCTTTTTGTGGAGGTTTTTCAAGTGTATTTAGGTATAAGGGGAATTTGGTCCATTTGGATTTTGTCCCCAACAATGAGCTTACTTCTGTCATCTTCCCCACTCTTCTTCTTCAGGTGCAAGACTACTTCCTGTGGTGCAGCCAGCTGATCAGCGCAATGGCAGTTGAGGAAAGCATCAGTGATGTGGCTACCGCTGACCTCCAGCTGGCTCAACATCAGCAGTTATGGGCTGAGATGGAGGCAAGACAGGAGACCTACCAGCAAGCTCTGGACATGGGAGAAGAGCTGCAGACACAGGACAAAAGCAACCAGAAGGAGGTAAGGAGGAGAAGTAAGATTTTGGAGACTCTGGGGATAGCTATATGGCACTTTTCTCATTTTATGGAATACAAACAGAAAATAAAAGAAAGAAAAGTCTGCAAGACCAGAAAGCAGATTAAAAAATACAGCTGCAAAATACAGAAAATCACAACTTCATTGTACCCTTCAAGCACTGTCCAAAACACATTGTGTGCATGAAAGAATTTGAGATGCAGAAGCAAACTCATCTCTGGAGATCAGCTTGGCTTTAATCATTAAGCTCATCTGTTGTGGCCTAGAGTCATATTCTGATTGATTTCAGAAATAATCATAAAGTTACGGTTACCATTTACCTATTAATGAAGTCCATGTTTGATAAATATAGAAAGAACTTGTTATCCCAGGGTGAGGAGGGGGTTCGGGTCCTGGGATAACAAGGGATAACAGCTCTTTAAAAAAGAGCTTAACCTTAAGATGAGATGAATTTGAATTTTTTTTTTGTAAGGTAGACATTGATACAGTCTAGTCAGAGAAATTAGACTTTTTGTTGGGTGATGATTCTCTTAGGTGTTGGAGAAGATGGACGCTCTCCAGTCAGAGAGAGAAAAACTGGAGGAGAACTGGAAGAAGAAACAGAGCTGGTTAGAAACTGTTCACCTGGAGCAGATCTTCTACAGAGACGTCAACAGCATGGAGAAGATGTCCAACTCACAGGAGGTACACCTGCTGTATTCGTTCAAGAAAAAAACCCTGCAAAATAATGATACCATTGATGGTGAAAACTTCTGTCATGTCTCCACAGATCCTGCTAAAGAACAGCACTCTGGGAAATACTGTGGATGAGACAGAAGGTTTGATCAAACGCCATGAAGCTTTTGAGAAGCTGCTCAGCTCGCAGGAGGACAAGGTCTGTACTCCTTCTGAGGGTTGGTCCTTTCCCCTACAGTTAAAACAAAATGCACAGCTTCTTTAAAGTCAATTGGAAAAACTAAACCATTTAGTGACATGCTGAGGTAGAGTGAATGATAATACTCTACATTTTATAGTAATTACCACTTTCTACCTTGGTTGAGCCCCTGCTCATTTAAATCTACACTTCCCTCTCTCTGTTCCAGCTGTCATCTCTGAAGGAGTTGGCTGAACGTCTGAGGAAACAGCTGAGCAAAAAGAAGAGCGGACAAGTCAAAACCAGACTTAAAGCTCTCCTCCAGAGACGAGAGAAAATTAAAGAGCTTTCTGCCAAACGTGGGGAAGAGCTGGAGCTTTCCAGGCGTCTGTGCATTTTCAACCGAGATGTCGCAGAGGTAACTTGCTAACCAGTCAGAACACTGGGCAATGTTTGGTAGCTGGATCCCCAAATATCTTTAAGGTTTTTACAGTGTTAAAAAATAAGGTGTGATTGATGATAACTGACAAATGAAAAAACTCAGGTCTGATTTCCAGTTCAATTCTCTGTTTATAACACTGTTTAACCGTCCATCTACTTCTGTTTCTGTGCGTCAGGCAGAGGAGTGGGTGTCTGAGCGGATGCAGAAGATGGCAGAGGACAGTAAAGCTGACCTCAGCAACCTGCAAACCAAGATGAAACTCCTGCAGAAACATCAGGTGTTTGAGGCTGAAATCCTGTCTCACCATGAGATCATCAGTAATGTACTTTTGGTAAGAACAGCTCGAGGGCCAGCAAGTAGGGCAAATTAATATGAAACCACAATAACAGAAAAGATTCAGCGGGAGTGAAAAGATCTGGGAGTGATCTACTAAAAACGTGCAAACATATGAGCAGATTTCATTTCAGTAATAACTAACATGAACAGACCTGCTGAAGGTGTAAGTAATCTGCCAAAAGAATAGCTTTGTGAACACAAACCCCCCCCCCCCCCAAAACAAAACAAAACAAAACAAAACAAAAAAACAACAACACAAGAGCTGGTCATGTTGCACAGTTCTGTGTGTGCACATTGCTGAATAAAGACACAATTAATATTGCCACGTAGCTAATAGTAAATCTGACTCCAAGTGGAAAAAAGTGGAAAACATGTATAGCAGTAATGCCACTTAACTTTAGGTTTAGGATTGTTTGACGTGATTGGACACAAAGAGGTGAGATGATAAGATGAAATGTTAATATGGATCTTTTTTTTAATTTACCTTTCAGAATTACCACTTACAGACATGATTTAGTGAACCTGTCAGTGTTGGTTAGATTGCGTCTTCAGCTTTGTGCCTTTGTGTCAAACATCTACATGCAGCCTGCTTTGTTCTTTGCTTCTAGGCTGGGGAAGAACTTGTATCTCTTCACCTGAGGTCCAAAGAGGTAAAGAAGAGTGCAGCCACACTCGAGCTTCACTGGGAAGAGCTGAAGAAGGCTGTGGCCATCCGTGGCAAAGCTCTGGAAGATAACAGAGCCTTCCTGGAGTACCTCCAGAAGGTGGAGGAGGTGGAGGCCTGGATCAGACAAAAGGTAGAGCACAGATAAATGGATGGAAGTGCATTGCTGTTAACATGGGGACATTTGTTACTTTACGTCTGTGACTCTGTGTTTCAGGAGGTTATGATTAATGTTGGAGATGTTGGAAAGGACTATGAACATGGAGTCCAGCTGCTGAAGAAGCTCAGTGAGTTCAGGGGAAGTGAAGATAAGGTAAGTAAACGTATGTTGTTCCAACGTGAGCTGCGAGAAACTACAGCTATGCTAGGCTGCAATGATAGTTACACAAGACACAGAGCTCAGTGTTTGATGACTCAACCTTTTGATGGCAATAGTGAAGTCGGACAGTGCCTCTATATACCACAAACAGGGAGAAGAAGAAGAACACTGCTTTTAAATGCTTTGCTCTCTAGTGTTCTCCTCAAACAGGATACGAAGAGCTTAACATGACTAACATTACTGATATTATAGAAGGAATAGCTCAAACTGACCACAAGCCACACTGTTTTAATATGTCTGAAAAGTGACAGCCAAATCTGTAATCTGCAGGACGTGACAGTGGATGATGCTCATATCAAAGCCATCAACAAACTGGCAGCCAAACTAGAAAAAAGACAGAGTGCTGAGGAACTGGTGACTGTGACAAAGAGGAGGCAGCAGCTCAATGAAAGGTAACGTGTCTGAAGATCTTCCACTCGCTTCCACTCATGTGTTTTTTTCCCACTCATCCAGATCAGGGTCACAGTGGGGCTGGAGCTAATTCCAGCTGTCACAGGACAAGAGGAAGGGCATATCCTGGACAGGTCACAAGTCTGTCGCAGTCACAGGCTAACACAAGTGCCTACATGGGTACCCATGCAATTATAGGGAGAACATTCACAGAAGGCCCCAGCTGACTGGTGGATTTCAACCCAGAACTTTCTTGCTGTGAGGCAACAGTGTTGACCAGCGCACAAACAAAATAATGCATCAAAGTGGTTCTTCTCCTCCAGGTGGAGCAAATTTCACGTTGATCTGAATAATTACAAGAACCAGCTCGAAGAAGCTCTGGTGGTCCACAGTCTCATCAGAGAACTGGAGGAGGTCAGAGACAGAGCTAATGAAAAGGTCAGGCAACTGTTTTTTTAACCTTGATGCTGCACTTCTAAAACACAAAATTATTACACTGTAAAAAATTGCACACTGTGAAAAATGTCAGCAAAAACAGAATGCAGTGATTTGGAAATCTCATAAACTCATACAGTATTCACAAAGGAACATGAAAACAACATTCATCTAAAACTCCAGCAAATGGTCTCCTCAGCTGCCAGATGGACTGTAGTTAAAAGAAGTCAGGATGCTGCACAGTGGTAAACATTGCAATGTTCTAACTGTGTTGAAATGCTGGACCTGAGCTGATGTACTCACCTTTAATCCTGTCCGTCCTTCGTCACTCCCAGTCAGAATCTTAACATCTTTTCTATTTTTTATTGTGAATAAAATATGGGCTAATGAGATTTGCCAGTCATTGCATTCTGTTTTATTTACATTTGACCCAGCATTGCAACTTTTTTGGAACTTGGTTGGTATTTTGAAAAGGTTCCTCCTCGCTCTCTTTAGATGCTGCTGCTGCAGGATCAGGATTGTGGCTGCGATGTGGACAGTGTAGAAAACCTGATTAGACGCCACGAGGAAATAGAGAGAGAGGCTGGAGTTATCCAAGATAGAGCAAAGGTGAGGCACCCAAGGCTGCAACTGACACGTTCATTCTTGACTTTAGGAATTGTAACTGGAAAGCTTGCATGTAAGCTTGGTACCTGTTCATAAAGATGGTCACAAGTAGATGTTAAATAGATTAAAAACAAGACAAAAAAGCAAACCTTGACAGATGGAAACAAAAATCAGATGAATCTAATCTTGTCTAATCTTTCATCAAAAAACTAAATGCAGTTTTATAAGTCCAGCTCATTTGCCAAATTACCACCTCTATGACTAAAATGACTGACTTACTTCTGTCTCATCAGTCTCTGGAAGAAGGCTTGTTGGGTGATGTGAGTGCTCAGTCAGTGATGAGCGACAAGCTGAAGACCAAACAGAAAGAAGTCCAGAAGACTCTGAAAACTTTGGACAAGGAACTCAAACACAGGTAACTTTAATCTACTATTAGAAGCAACAGTGATTTCAATTATTTTAATTGCTGAAAGTTTTCAAAGGTCAGAGCATCTAGTAATTAACAGTGAAATAACTATGTAGGCACCAATGAAGTTTGCCAATGTTTTCTTTGCCATCTCTATACCTTGTCTAAAATCAAGCAGTCTGGCAAATTCCTTGAATTCCTCGCAGGATTGTCACTCACCACTTTATCTAGGCTACCGAGCAGCTTTTGAATTATCTGTGTGATTGTTGTTGATGGAAAGTGTGGTATTTCCAAAACCACGGAGTAGCAATCTGTGATTATCAGGTTGTGTTGGTGCTTACCCTCACATTGATCCATAGCAACTTTTTCCAGGGTTGTTGGGAGCAGCTTGGATATTGAGTTTAGTTTAGTTAGTTTAGATATGAGAGGTTCTTTTGGTTGACTTTTCAAAGAGCACGGTCTTTACCTGTGCTCGTCTTTCGGTGCAGCTCTGTGTAGGCAGCTGTTGTTTTATCGTTTCATCCATTTTGCTGGTGGGTGCAGGAATCCCGTCCAACACTAGCCACACAGCATGCCACACGCACTGAGTGTTAGCCAGAGGGCTAGGTGACAGGTTGTGATAAGCGTTTTCACTTTAGCATACTCCTATACTGGATTCTCATGTCTAAAATCATGGGAACATGTTGGGACTGTAGTTGCACACTGTTCCAGCTGTGGTATGTAATGAGAGGTACTGGACTAGCTGAAGCTCGGTCTGTCTAAACTAGCTAGGCCATCGAGGTATCCCTCAAACTTTCTACAAACCCACACACCTGCTAAAGGCTTTTTTCCCCTCTCACTAAGCATGCAAGATGTTAACCACTGGACTTTTGGAGGCCCAACAGTGTTTTACATTAGTAAAAATCAAAAATATGGATAGTGATCAGAAGAACTCCCTCAGGAAAAACTCAAGAAGAAATGGTCTTTTTCAGAAAAGAAAAGCTGCAGGAGGCTCACCAGTTGCAGCTTTTCAAGGCTAACCAGCGCCTCCTGCTGGAGTGGAGTCTCAAACAAAGCAGTGAGATGGCAGAAAAGGGACTTCCCAAGACCAGAACAGAGGCTGACCGGCTCATTGTGGAGCATCAGGACTGGAGGGTGAGCACTGTGGCTTACTTAAACTTTACTACCTTAATGAAGTAAATGCCAATTTTAAACTTTGCTGTTTTTAGACGGAGATTGACGCTCGTGCTGAACGCATCGACTCTGTCAGGGACTTTGGTCTGGGTCTCATCCGGTCTGGTCACAGCTCTAAGTCAGAGATCCAAAAGGCTTTGAACCAGCTAGAGGAAGCTAAAGCTGGACTGGACCGAGCCTGGTTGAACCGTAACATAACCTTGGAGCAGGCCCGTACACTACAGGTGATACAGCAGCGGCCCCCAAAATAATTTAATATGACTTTTTGATGTGAATAATGAATTAATATAGTCTCATTCATATTTATAAGTATATTTGCAAAATTAATTTGCTGAATAAATCTCAGATTTAATTAAAATAAATATATTTCATGTATTGTAAGTTAACCTGGTCCTCTTAGCATTACACTGAATAATCCTTAATATAATTGACGAGATCAGACAAGATCGGGCGTTCTCAGGGTGGTATGGCTGTTCTGTGACTGCAGCTCAGGCGGTAGGGCAGGTCATCTACTGATCCTCCTTCAGTCTGCATGCCAAGTATCCTTGGGCAAGATACTAACCCCAGATTGCTCTCCCCGATGCTACATTTGCTATGAATGGTAGTTAGGAAGCACTAAGAACCTTAGCAGACAGTGCTTGTGTGATTGGATGAATGTGGCATGTTGTGTAGAGTGCTTTGAGTACTCTGGGAGAGTAGAAAAGTGCTATATAAGAATCAGTCCATTTACCATAATTGACACATATGATTGAGCTACTTTACATAACTGAAAAGTTTCAGCTACCTTAGCAAGGTGGATTTTGTGCCTTCTTGTAGTTAGACATAAGACAACTATGAGACACAGCTTTAGCAGTCAGATTAGCTTATGCTGAGCTCTTCTCTGTATCCTTCAGATCTTCCTGACCTCTGTAGAACAATGTGAGAGCTGGCTCAACAACAGTGAAGCCTTCCTGTCTAATCAGGACCTCGGGGTACGGATGATTTGCTTCAGAATCATACATATATAGGAAAGTACTCTTATGCTGTGAAAGCAACCTATTCTTTTTGCAGAGCTCAGTGACAGAGGTAGAAACACTGCAGAGGAAGCAGATTCAGTTTGAGGAAGCCCTGGAGGCTCAGGGAGACCAGCTGGACCAGGTAGAGAAGCTGGCCCAGGAGATGATCCAACAAAAGCACTATGATGCCAACAACATCAGAGCAAAGAGCAAAGCACTGACCACCAGGTAGTCATCAGACATCTCAGCCACACACTTTCCAATTAAAGCAAGTACTGTAGCTGGAAATAATGTTTTGACTCCTGCTTGCTCACCTGCTGCGTTTGCGCAGGCGGAGTCAGTTGCAGCGGCAGAGCAGATCTCGTTACAAAGCTCTGGATCAATCCCTCCAGCTGCAGCAGTTCTTGTCCAGCAGCTACCAGGTAACTTTCTGAACTCTGCTGAAGCCTAATTTGTATTGTTCTTCAGGGGTCTATAGCAAATTTGTGTTTTCCAGGTATGTGTGTGGCTGAATGAGCGTAACGCCATAGCACTGGATGAAAACTGGAGGGAACCAAACAACCTTCAGGCAAAGCTGTTAAAACATCAGAGCTTTGAAGCAGAGATCCTCGGCAACCGCTACAGGGTGGAAACCCTCACTAAGGTGGATTTTCTTAAGTGTCTGTGTATTTCCCTGATTACAGCTCTAGCTGCAAGATGTCTTGGGCTGGACAGTTAACGGTTTATTCCTGAGAAGTGTCAAAAAGATTATCCCATCAGAATTTTTGTCCTATTTAGACCTTCTCTTAGATTTTGCTAACATTTCAGACTTTATTGTTTGTTTACACCATTGGGAATATAAAATGTTGCCTATTGGGTGCTTTCCAGGAAGGAGAGAAGCTGCTGTCTGAGTCTCTGTCTGCTGAAGGAAAGGTTCGACCTCGACTCAGAGAGCTGACTGACAGCTGGGATACTCTGATCCACAACGGCAAGGAGAAGAAAACTAGACTGCAGGAGGCCTACCAGGTACTTGCCCAGTCATGTTTAATGTTGCCTTTAAAACTATAACTTCAATTTCAACTTAAACCTACTCAACTTTAATCCTTAACTAAATCTTCATAGAAAACATTAAAGATTTCTTTCATGCTCATTGCCCTGGAATTGTAGGGAGGCACATAAAGTTCTCTGAATGCCTTTTGTGTGTTTAGGCATTGCAGTTCCAGCGTTCATTGGATGACATGGAGCAGTTCGTGGCGTCAGTGGAGAGGGAGCTGGCCAATGAGGACTGTGGCAGTGACCTACCCTCTGTGAACAGACTGCTGAAGGAACTGCAGGGGGTGGAAGAGGAGATGGATGGACACCAAGACCGAATCCAGGTGCAAGCGCGAGGGTGGACATAATGTTTAGCTGTTTTAAATCCTCATAATTTTGAGTTTTTAGTTTGATTTTTTTTCATTACTAATTATATCTAAGATACATACTAGATTACTTCTATAATGATATTATAGCCGTCATGGTCCTGGGTCTTTGTCCCAGGGTTTATGCTATGGATTGTGTGAATCGGGTTAAAATGATATTCTAAGTTAGGCTAGATTCTCTGATTGTTTCATGTTCGGTTTTCTTGTAATTCTGAGTTCTCATTCGATCATTTAGTTTCTGTTTAGTTTCTAGCTCTTAGTAAGTAAGCAAGTAAAATTTTATTTATATACCACCTTTCAAGACAAAGATCACAAAGTGCTTCACAAAGAAATACCAAGGCATTTAAAAGAAAAAACAGACGAAAAGGTTCTTAGTGATCATAGTTTTCCCTGCCTCTGAGTCTAATCTTCTCCTGTCAGTCAGTCTTGTCTCTGTGTTTATTCCTGTCTCCCCAATTGCTGCGTCTTCAGTTTCTGTCTGTGGGTTTCCCGTGTCCTGTGTCTAGTATATTCATTTTTGCTTCCTCCCTGTCCCATTATGCCAGTTAGCTTCCAGCTATGTTTCCCATCCCTTGTGTATTTAGTCCCCTGTTGTCCTCTGCCTGTTGTTGCGTCATTCCACATTGCTGCGTCTACGCAGCAATGTGGTCCTCGTTTCTCCTAGTGGTTCTAGTCAGCTCCGATTCCTAGTTTCTCTGTTCCTAGTTTTCTAGCTTCATAGTTCTTTGTTTCCAGTTTTAAGTTATGTTTACATATATCCCGTGTCTCAGTGTTTACAGCAAAATAAAGCTGCCTCTTTTAGTTCATCACCTTTGTGGCAGCTCCTGCCTGCCACACAGCACACTCATGACAATTGCCCACCCTACTTCACAACAAACATTAATGTGAAATTTATTTTAAAAACCCCACCATATTGTTAACATCAGCTAAATGTTAGTGGAGACACATTATTCATGTTAATGACTATATGTTTAACTCAGTTTTAAGTCTAAAGGGAAAAATAACCTTACTTATACTTCTTTGGTTTCCAAACTGGCATGCCACACTAGAGTTGCCTGCCACCATCATGGAAAAAGAACATTGTAGATTCACTAAAGTGTGACAAATGTCGGCTTGCATATATGCATATATGAAGTATATGTAAATGTATATATTTTATATATCAGGGTCTGGTGGACACAGCAAAGAGCTTCCACTCTCAGGGTAACTTCCTGGCTGAGGAGATTCAGACCAGAGTGGCACACACCATCAACAGGTTTGTAAACAGTAGATCATTTGCACTGAAGAAATCTGGTTGTATACATAATGTAGCCGACTTCTTCATGCCTCTTTATAACCTTGGAAGAGGTTGATGCTCTTCCAAGGTTATAACAACTGTTATAAAAATTAAAATATCACTAAATGAGAAAAAAATGTTTGAAATGTATTTCACCGGTGTTGGTCTTTACTCTGACAGGTACAACAGTCTGGCGCAGCCCCTGCAGAGACGTAAGGAGAACTTGGAGGCCTGGCAAGTCCTGTTCCAGTTCTACAGAAATGTGGAGGAGGAAACGGCCTGGCTGAATGACAGACTGCCCTCCATCACTGCCAAAGACCTGGGCAGCTCCCTCAGCAGTAGCCAGCAGCTGCTCCACAAGCACCAGGTGACCACTTGCAGATTTTACTGACAGTGAGGAAGGAAGAAAACATATCTAAATTAATTAATATTCACATTATTACAGACATCATCATTTTAATAAGACATTTATAACCTCCTGGACTTTATTTGTAGCTCTAAATTGCAATTGTTTTTATAGTTAAGGACATCTTTGATTAATTGTTTAGTGGTCTGGTCATAGGTTATTAAATAGCATCTATGGTTCAAATTGTTCCAGGTTTTGGGTTACTTTTGTTGTGTTTATTGAAAAAAATAATTTGCAAATCATTTTTTAAAGACCTTGATGCAGGAGATCTCTGGACGCATGCCATTGGTCCAAGCAGTTCAGGAGGCGGGGCGTAGTCTGGTAAGGATCTCTTTGATTTCGGCATTGTTATAGCTGGAATGTTTAAGAAATGATCCGGGAACCTTATGTGTTCTTCTCTCAGGTCAGGGGCCGACACTTTGCATCTCACGATATCCGGGAGCGTCTGGAGGACTTAAAGAGTCTGCATGAGAAGCTGACGGTAGAGGGTGAGAAGAAAGTGAAACTACTGCAGGAGGCAGTCAGCATACATGCCTTCCTCACAGAGGTAACAGACACATGACATAAAACTGAGATTTAATGTATAAAGGTCCCCCTTTTTAGATATATTATAAAAATATCTGAAAAATAAGTTTTGTTTCAAGTATCATAAACCGCAGACTGTAATCACTCACATCCTCAGACCATGCCGCAATGTTACCAACTGTGACTCCATCAACATGCTATGCTGCTCTTGTTCAAAAAATAAAAGTGGCGCCTTCGCCTCAAGGCGCTTTATATTGCAAGGTAGACCCTATAATTTTACATACAAACAAAAACCCAACAATCATATGACCCCCTATGAGCAAACATAACTCCCTTTTAACAGGAAGAAACCTCCGGCAGAACTAGGCTCAGGGAGGGGTCATCAGCCGTGACCGGTTAAATCCTGAATTGATATTTAAATAGAAATGTATTTTGCCAGAAATACCTTTAATAATATATTTCTGACTGTCTGAGTCAAAATTGAATTGAATCAGAACCTCGTGGATGAAAATCAAATCCATTTTAGAAATCTGTGACAATACCCAGTCCTATGTAAAACCGCTCATTACTAGCAACACTGTAGCTGACTGTATATAAAAGATTTAAGTCATACAATTGTACAAATTACCCTCTGAGCAGGTCACTAGTCTATCACAGGAAGAGACAGAACACCATGTACTCTCACGGTCAATTTAGAATCAACAACTAATCTAACAAGCCTTTTTTGAACAGTTGGACTGGTTTAAGACATTATTTTATGTTATTTATATAATCACAACAAAAAAAACTGTAAAAGAAAAAAAAACTTTACCTGTTATGTGCCTATTTTTGTGTGTTTGAAGGTTTCAGAGCTCCAACTGTGGTTAGAGGAGCAGCAGGTGGGTTTAGAGTCTCGAGACTGCGGGAGGAGTGAGGAGGTGACGGAAGCTATGCTGAGGAAATTGGACTCTGTGGCTGTAGAACTGGACAACCAGAGGAGGACAGTGGAGAAGCTGCAGGAGAACGGTGCATCGTTGCAACACCTTAGACACCCCAAGAGGTAAAGCGGTGTGTAGTACGATGCAGTATCATCATTCTGCTTGGGTTTTTTTTTTTACATTTTGAAACTAAAAAGAAAAGAATGTTTCTGTTTTTCAGCCACCTGGTCAGTGAGTCTCTCCCAGCTGTCGTTGAATGTTTTGAGATGCTCCTCAGACTTTCTGCATCTCGTCGTGCCGCTCTGGAAGATCAGCTCCGTCTCTATGTGTATGAGAGAGAGGCTAAAGAACTCCAAACATGGCTGACCTCCAAGAGAACGATGGTAGAGTCCACCGACTGTGGACAAGATCTGGAGAATGTGGAAGTGAGTCACGTAGAAAAATAATCATGGGTTTCTTGTGCTTCATAGTTTTTAAAAAGTAGAATGGTTGAGCCATCAGCTATCAATTGCTGCTCCTGTGAAACTAGCTCCCAGTTTGGGTTGTAAGATTAGATTTCCAACTTTCTTTTTGATGATGCTTATAGTCAGGGCTGGATCACTTGATCCTAAACCAGCCCTTAGTTATCCTGTTATAAGCTCAGTCTGCCGGGTGACTTCCCATCATACACTGAGAATTTGTTCTGTACTCATTTATTTTCACTCCTCATGTGTTTATACACCACTACTGCATGGCATTAGCTTTTCTCTTTCCCTTCACCTACTAACCAGTCATGGCAGCTGGTTGGCCTTTTTCTGCTGGAAGTCTCTTCCTGTGAAAAAGGAGTTTGTCATTCCTACTCTTGCCAAGTGATGCTCTTAGGGGATCAACTTAAAATGACTGTTGTTGGTGACTGTCGTTGTGAACTGGTGTTAAATAAATAACTAGCCTGTGCTAGTGTGCCATAGATATAGTCAGGCTTGCCTCAATTCACAGCTTGGGTTTAGGAACCAGTGTCCAGGAATAAGCCTGGACTCTAGTTTCCCTTAGTGAGAGGTAGTGGGCAGGGGTGGGTATACTTTTATCACTCTGGCTTGTTGCCTGTATGTTGGTTCACCAGTGCACAAGAGCATTGCTTTCCTGCACCTTCAGGTCGGGGAAACGGTCCAGAGACAGGAGCAGAGCTGTTAGTTGCTCACCATCTAGTGACCACTGAGGACACTGGAATGGACAGACCTGCCCCCCCAGACGTGTAGTGAGGGTGCATAAGCCGTGTCTGACAGTGGACGTATTCAGCTTTATTAGCTTGTGGGACTGTGGCTGATAGATATTGACAGGCCAAGCGGATTATGGCTCTGGCAGGAACTGAACCAAAAACCTGTGTTTGGAAAGAGTTTTGTGAGCCCACCGAACAAGACTTGATCTGCCTTAGTTGACCTCTCTTACCCAGGCAATTCCAGCAAAACATCAGGTGATTCTGGATGAACATGCAGCCCTCTCCTGGACTGCGCCCAGCTGAAGCTAAGCTCCAGTAATGCTCAGGTTGTCAGGAAATAAACAGCTCATCTGATTTCTCTGACTACAGCTGTTCTTTCCAAATATGTCCCCAAGGTCCCCGAGGGGCACAAGGTGTTAAAGCCCTGATACGCTGCTGAGTAAAATGGAGGTGGCTGAAATGCCAAGAGTTGGATTGTGGGGCATCTGTATGATGTCTCCAATTTTTATTTGTGTAGAAATTCATAAAGTCATTGCTAGTTAACGTTAAATGAGTACTCGGTTCAACAGAAGTCTCTGTCACTCCGGCTACAGTCCAGAAAGCTGGGGTTGTTCCTGTTTTCTTCAATCAGTGATATATATTAGTTTTATGGAGGGCCCTCTTTTTTTTGGGGGGGGGAGGAGCCACTAATGGGAAAACCATTATTGGATTTTTTTGTATTTGAAATTTTGTTTTCTTTTTTCGTGATTTCTTTTTTTATGTGTTTTGGGCTTTAAGAAGTATAGAGAGTAGACAGGTAAGCAGGGAGTGATTTGGGAGAGGGATAATGTGACAGAGAAAGGTTTGTGGTAGATTCAAACCCAGATGAGCTATAACAGCACCTATTGAACTAGTTTTTCTAACTGTAGAATCAGTGACGGGACTTTAAAAAATCTGTCCATCTTCTTATCTTGGGCGACCGTGGTTTGCCTGCACCAGTGTGTGAATGTGAGAATGAATGAATAGTGGAATTGTAAAGCGCCTTGGGTGCTTAGAAAAGCGCTATATAAATGCAATCCATTATTATTATTATTATCCAATTCAGGGTAGCAGGAAGTTTGTTCAAACTTATGAAAACGGAGGCTCCAAGTTATATTGATTGCATTTGTTTGGGTTTAGTTTCATATTTATTTATTGTAGCATATCAGTTTTTGGCTTGAAAAAATCTTAAAAAGGAAGAGACTTTACTGGCACACAAATAGAGAAAATGGTCAGTTTGTAGTAAATATTAAACCAATGTTCTACCAGGTTTTGGGCAGCACGGTGGTTAGCACTGTTGCCGCACAGCAAGAAGGTCCTGAGTTCAATTCCACCATCAGGCCGGGGTCTTTCTGTGTGGAGTTTGCATGTTCTCCCCGTGTCTGCGTGGGTTCCCTCCGGGTACTCCGGCTTCCTCCCACCGTCCAAAGACATCCAGCTTGTGGGGATAGGTTAATTGGATAATCCAAATTGCCACTAGGTGTGAATGTGAGTATGAATGGTTGTCTGTCCTTGTGTGTTGGCCCTGCGACAGACTGGCGACCTGTCCATGGTGTACCCTGCCTCTTGCCCTATGACAGCTGGGATTGGCTCCAGCACCCCCCGCGACCCTGAAAAGGATAAGCGGTAGCGAATGGATGGATGGATGGATGTTCTACCAGGGTGTATATCTTCTGAAACTCTTAGGTCTCAAACTGCTAATATCTCCCTCTTTACTCATTTCTTAGCTTTTTGTCCCTTCTCTCCATCTATAGGTCCTTCAGAAGAAGCTGGAGGTTCTGGTTTCAGAAGTTTCCGGTTTGGGTCGCAGCCGACTGACCTCAGTACAGCAGCTTGGCCGAGGGCTGCAACAAGACGATCAGGCTCGCAGGAGGGATGATGCACTCAGCAGGCTGTGGGATGAGCTCAACAGTAGCATAAGGACCAGAGAACAGGTATAGATCTGATAGATCAAGCTCCCTTTGGATGAGTTGATCTGAATTAGAGGTTGTGAGAATGATGGTCTGTCCTGTGTCCTTCAGAATCTGCAGGCAGCAAGGGAGATTCATCAGTTTAACCACGATGTGGAAGAACTGAAGGGCTGGATGGCTGAGAAGGAAGCAGTACTGGACTCAGAGGACCTGGGCCACGACCTGCATTCCATCCAGACTCTGATGAGTCAACATGAAGCATTGGAGGTAGGAAATGTCCACCAAACACTGCATCAAAGCTAAGTGGTGGATGCATGACAGCTGAATGAATGTTCCTGCCTCGTTGTCTGTCTTTTCCATCAGAGGGACCTGGTTCGAATCTCTGAGGAAGTAACCAGGAGTAGAGAAGTAGGTCGCACACTGAGCAAATCCCAGCCTCAGGCCAGGTCCTCTGTGACTCAGCGGCTGGATGACCTAGAGGCCTGCTGGACCAGTATCCAGGACAAGGCCTCCCTACGACGGGCCAGACTGGGCCAGGCAGAAGATGTGCAGAAATACCTTTCCCAGTGGACTGAACTCATGTAGGCTCTGTCAATGGAAAAAAAATTATTCACACACTACCCAAAATTCAAAAACACTACAAATAGTATTAAGTTTAGCTTTATTTTTCTATACAAACCCCCAAAGTATTTGTGTTTCAGCCTGGTCTCAAACCAGGGACCTTTCATGTGTTAGCCAAATGTGTAAATCACTACACTGTGGAGTCCAGTTGGTAAATCTCATTGACATTGGATTAAACTGCTTTAGAATTTTTATCTGCAAGCGGCTTTACACCCCAGGTCTTCCTTTCATGTGATGTTTGACGACATCAGTTTCATATCAGTTGTCAGTTGTTGTCACCCACCGCTCTGTTCTGGGGTCATGTGCCCAACTCCACTTTCCATGTATGTGCACAGAAGAGTGTGCAGGTGCCAGAAAGCTACTCTGCCAGATATAAGCACAAATGAAAATAACAACCTCTTTGTTCCTACCAGCAGATTACCAGCTTTCTCTTTCAAAGAAGCAGTATTTTAAAGACTGCACATTGTCTTGTGTTCTAGGGCGTGGCTGAAGGAGATGCTGTCTCTGGTGAGAGGGGAGCCTCAGAGTGGTGAGGGAAGCGACCTGGAACAGCTCATTAAAAAGCATGATGAGTATCGCGTCCAGATTGACAGACAACTAATCAAATCACAGGCCGTCAAACAGAAAGGAAGTCGTCTGATTGAGGACGGAAACTTCATGTCTGAGAAGGTAGTTTGGCACATCAAACATCAACAATAGAAATGACTCCGAATGGCTGATATCCCTCTGTATATTCCTCCTCTCAGGTGGAGCAGCGTATCTGTGAGCTAGAGGAGCTGGAGATGCGGGTGGAGAAGGTTTGGGAGGAAACCAGGCTGCTGTATCAGGAGGATCTGGAGATTGTCCTTCTGCAGAGAGAGCTGGAGCAGGCTGAGCGCTGGCTGAGCTCCTATGAAAGCACTCTGATGGCTGAGGAATACGGGGTATGCGAATGCTGAGAATTGGACAGAAAAGTGAAATGGACAGATGTCTCTATGGGTCAAGCACACTTTTCACTTTTCAACTCTTTTGTAGCGATTCATGGAAATTGTTGCCCTGTATCAGGGTATATTTTTGCCTGTAGTGTGTTAGTAATGCAGATAAATGCAGAGGTAGGAGGAAAAAAGATATCTAACATAAAATGATTTGCTCCTTGTTGTCCATCGTTCAATATGGATGCGTTTTTATTTTACCCCTGAAGGAAGGCCATGTTATACCTGTTATAATAATAGACTCAATACACCTGTTTGAAATAAACTGAAATCATTTTTGAAGGAAGATTTCAGAGGATGGAGTCCCCAAGACGTCACTCAGAACTCGTGGCATTAAAACGTCTCTTAACCAGAACATCTTCTGTGGTTCCTCCAGGATTCTGTGTCTGACGTTATGGAGCTCCTTAAGAGGCAGGAGGACTTGGAGGCCATGATCCAGGCCCAGAGTGACCGTTTCATTGCACTTCAGAAAAAGAAAACACAGGTAACATTAACAACAGGAAAGAATAGAGTTTCATAGACTAAATCAAAGGCTTTTTCCCCAAACACTGGTTTTCTCTTTCTTTATTAGGTACTGAGATCTTAAAAATGTCTTAAAACCATTGATTTAGATTTTTGTAGTGCATGAACCCTGTTAAAAACACTTTCTTTTTTATTGCAGAGGGAAAACAGACTGGGTCTTCATGGAAATGAGGAGAAGGACCTCCAGTACAGACAGCCTCCAGCTAGAGTTTCCTCCCTGAGAAGTAAACCATCAGAACTAAAGACCCCACGGATCTCCTCTAGAGACGTTCATGGGGCCAGCAGTGGCAGGCAGACAGACAGAACAATCAGACCATCCGTGCTGGAGAAGAAAGCAGAAGCTGTCTCTAGTTCTCCTAGCCCTCTTCTCAGCCCACCACTAGGACCTGGATCAGATTCAAAGATTATTAAAAAAGCAGAATCGGCTGACAGCTCTGATGAGTCCGATGAGTCCAGTCCCAGCCCGACAGTTAACGCCGGGAGAAGGCAAATCAAAAATTCACACCTAAATTCTAACACTCCCCTTGGAGAATCAGCGGATTCCTCTTCACAACCGCCTCCTCAGTCCCATTCACTAAAAGAGACTCGGCCTAGGTCCAAACCACCTGTGGCTCCAAAGCCCAGAATTTCCTTTTCAGAGCAGGCGTTTGGCTGCCGCTCTGATTCTCCGAACCTTCCAGAGAAACCCACCACTCCACCAAACTCACCTTCAGCAATCAGACAACTTGTTGCCCCCACTGAACCGCCACCACCTCCACCTGTGAAAGAAAGACGTATTCGCCCTAAATCACCAACATCTAGGCAGCCCGATGTGCCTGGCTCTCCTGCTCCACCTGCTGCTGATCACATTACACCACCCAACGCCCCGACGGCTGCACCAATCTCAAAGGAGGATAAGACGTGAGCATGCCCCGTTTCCTGCTGCTTTGACATCGACTGGCTGATTCCTCAATTTAAAAAAAAAAAGTTACTGCAGTGGTTTCAGCTCATAGCAAGAAAATATATATTAATCATCCATGGGATCAGTATGCTGCGCTAAAGAAATTGCACACACATAATTATACAAAAAACATTAAAAAGTAAGTTAACTCATGGTTGACCTTATTCCCCCCTCTCCTAGACCTCAACAAAAGTCTTTAGATCTAGCAGAGGGGCAACCCGAACCTGAGGTATAAACTGTCTTATTCATTAAATTAATAAGCATCATCAACCACATGTTCTCACACCTGTCATACTTACTGCCAGGTCACACCTGGGGAGCCAATCAGAATGGAGGGCGTGTTGGAGATTAAGCTGAAACAAGGAGGAAACAAGGTGAGAGATGTTACACATCTGTAACTGATGATATGATCTTTATAAAGATATCTAAAAACAAAATTTCATATTGGGCATGAACTCAACGTGCTTCTTTGTTTGATACGTTTTTAATTTTATTTACACATCTCTATCAAACTGGATGGACAACCTGATGGAAAAGGAGCTATTCGGCTTCCCAGTTGGATTTTCCAATTTTTATGTCTTGGTGGTTGCTAACACAGTATGAAATCATGCTCTTTATAAGGTATCCAGTTGTGATTTTGTTGGTGTACTGAGTAGCTGCTTAACGGAGGAAGATGCTGTACTCAGGATTGTTTCTAAAGGCTAAAGAAAATAATGTAACATTATAGTGTTGCCCACTTAAAGTGAGAGGAGATAAGCAGAGTGAATTGCTCTGTTGTTTTCCTCGTACATCCACACCCTGAAGACTGCAGAAGCTGATACACATTGGTGTATTTTTAATGCCATTAGCCAGTAAAATGAAGGTCTTTTATTACTTTTTGAAACCTACTTTGAGTACCTGGATGATTTATGCCAGTTTTCTTTTTGCCACTCTACCCTTCCATTAGCACCGGTGGTTTGAGAGACACCAGTGGTGCTCCTTTTATTTCCTTTTATTCCCGAGAACCTTTTTGGGTTATGGCAGCCTGTTTGTTGTGCCCACTGTTGAAGCATTGGCTGAGGCTCCTCTTTTGTTGCAGGGTCTGGAGCACTGGGAGGAGGTCTTTGCTGTTCTGCAGGGAGAGACTCTCAGCCTGTTTAAAGACACAGCAGCTGCTGCACAGGTAGAGAACATTAAAAAGCCACTGCATCACTGACAGCACTGTCTACATGACATGACAGCAGTTTGGGTAAAAACAATTAAGTCCTGTCCTGAGTGGGTTTAGCACCATAGCAGATGGACATGTTTGATGGCATCATGTGTCCTTGACACAGCGATCCCATTTACCTAGGCTCCCCTGAGGCTGGGTTTGTATCTTCTCCCAAAATCAAACTGAGGATCTTTCACATGTAAGATGAATGTGTGAGTGTATCCTGAGAAATGACGGGAAAAAGAAACTCAACAAAAAACAGCATTTATTTGTTTAAAGAAAACATTAAAAATAATAAAAAAATAATAAATTCACACATTTCTTTTTCTAACGTATTCAACAATGAAGCAAATAAGGGCTTCCATTAATAGAGATTAATAGAGATGGCAGTCATGATTCTCTTTTTTTCTAATTCAGTCCTCATTTAGAATTTGAAAATCTCTTCATGCTCTGAATAGACGCCACCATAATCAATGCAGAAGCTAACTTTAAAGGTTTTCAAAATATTTTGATAACTTGAACAAGGGTTTTTGACTTTTATCCAAATCTGGAGATTTTTATTTTTTCTTTCAAAGTGTTTTTAGCATGATCATCTTTATTGGAAACATTTTCATATATTAAATTCAACTTCCTTAACTTCAAGTTGCTTTCAAACAATTATGTTTATGCAATGAAATGAAATGTCTGTTGGAGTCAAACTCAAAATATTCCAAAATTCAAAGGAACTTGCTGCCAAGGCTGCTGTTTTTGTGTTCTTCAGACACAGAATAATTACTCGCAGTTGAGCGTAGGTCGTGTCTAATGCATACTCAGTGTGTTACGAAAAGGAAAATATTGCAGCTTATTTTTCTACAGGAAGGATTATAACCACAGTGTTCTCCATCTGCCTCTGCACGTTCACTAATAATCTCAGTGAGGTTACACTGTTTAACTCTGTTGTGCTTTCACAGAGGACATCTAGGTGGCCTCCTATCAACGTAGTTGGAGCAGTTTGCAGGGAGAATCGCTACTACAGAAGCAAGGAGAACACTTTCAGACTAATGTAAGAGCTGCACGCTTCATGGACAGTGTAAACACAAGCACAACACAACATTGGAGCATTGGAAAGTTGACTTTAATGTTGTTGCTAAAGTTAGAAATCACAGCTTCTCTATGCTGTATGACTGTCTGATGTATAGGACATTCTGAAACTTCATATTTACACTTAAAATTGGCTACTATATTCTTTGGACTAAAGGCGCACTTAAAATCCTTTAATTTTCTCAAAAATCGACAGTGCAGCTTATAATCTGGTGCGCCATATGTATGAAGTTGATGGTTGATTGTTAAAGCATTGCGGCTACCGTAATCAGGAGCCTCGAGGATCCCTTCCAACATAAATGAATACAGAAAACTAAACAGCAGTGACTTTTGTAGTGTTACTGAAGTTGGACTAGCTGGTATATAATGATGTGCTACATGATCGGTAGTGACACAGCTATGTTAGCATAACATAAACACAGTGAAGCTGGAGGATGAACGCTAACTTTTTTCCACTCGATAAAAGTTAAGGTGAGGGTTCCTGATGGTTAGAGACAAATGCAGTTGCATGGCAGGATGCTGTAAACGGAAACCTCAAACTTCAGTCAGGAGAACTGAGATAATCCATCCACACTATGAGGTTAGTCATTAATATACTGCAACAACATGGGAAAAGAGCAGCTGTGAGAGAATTTAACGTTAATGAATCAATGGTACGGAAGTGGAGGAAGCAAGAAGAGTGAGATGAGTAAAGTTTGACTATTCAGACTGCTTTGTTTCACTTATTGCACCTTATGTATAAAAACAGACCAGATCATTGACAGTGCGCCTTATGGTCTGAAAAATACGGTATTTGTTTCTTAGCACTGTGAAACTATATTATAACTTTGAAAATTTGTGGCTCACCACTGATCTTTCAAATAAATTCTGCCCGTGTCATACTTTGGTCTCAATTATGCATTTCTTTACATCATTATATGCTGTGTTTTCTTATGCAAAACATTCTTAGGAAGACTTATTTTTCTGTACTTGTGTTGTGCTTTCTCTCTCTCAGACTGGAGGATAGCAGTCAGTATGTATTTACAGCATCAAGCAAGGAGCTCCAGCTCATCTGGATGAAAAAGCTCCAGAACTGTCCAGAATCTGCCAGCAGTGACTCTGACGACTCTGGGTGAGCGCTCACTCATGGTTGATCAATTTTAATAGACCTAAGACAAAGCTCTCTCTCTTTTGGATCATAAGTGATTACTCAGTTCAACTGGAGAATGTGAAATGTTTGAGCTTAAGCAAAAAAAAAAAAAAAAAAAAAAAGTTGTGTATCTCAAGGTTGCAAATGAGAACTGAAAGAATTAAAAGGAAAGACATTTACAAAAAGTAGCTGAGTGGAAATTCTAAACTACCGATTTGTAAGTTTGGAAATTGTAGTTATGATAATGCACCTTTAAAAACTGAATAAGTGCAATACAAATTACAGTATAACAAGTGGGATTAAACACAAGTGTTAATGTCAAGCATGTAACCTCATCATCTACTGAAACAAGACTAGTGATATAACCTAAAATCACTATCACTCAATATCAATAAAAGCTGGTGATAACAACATATTTTTGGTGTTATTACACAAACCTTTATACGAATTGTTCAGTGTATTCCTACTCAGATGGTCCTAGGACAAGCTAGGGTGCTTCATCTCCTCTTGGATCTGTTGTCATACTTTGGAAAGTCCAATCACTTTAATAACAATAACAGGTTGTTTAAAATCAGAGTAACATAAAAGGCCTGTCTGTTTCTATTTTTGTTTTGATAACACTTTAAAATTAAGCTTGTTGATAAGAGAGCAAAACAAAAACAAAAAAACAGAGAACAAGCGTGAGCCGTGAAGAAAACATGACACAAACGAGGCTTTCAGGATCAGTCTTGTGATGTATGCCACTAAGTGGCTGGGGAACTCTATGTGGTTGCACATCGATGAGAGGGGTTGGCCCCCAGTGCAAGATGTACATCATGTATTTGGAGCTGCTACCTGCTTTTATACCTCTCGAGCCCTTTTGTCCTGTTCTGGTCCAGCATGTCCTGGTCAGCACTGGTGTTACAACAGTGGTTTCTTGCATAAACATGCAGGTCAGGAGGCAGCTCCCATCCCCTGTTAAAGCTGCCTCGCTCTCTGTTATGGTGCAGTGTTCATTCTCTCTTGCCTCTTGAGAGGGCAGCTCAGTTAAAGGTTTGCTTTCAACTATGGTGGCAATGATCAAAACTGTGAGGGTTTAATCTACAAGAGGTGTGTGTGTGCCTATGAATGGCAAGTGTAGGTGTGTTTTCTCTTTCCAGTGCTCTTTTACAAATGGAATGCAGCAGCCCTGTGAAGTCTCTGTGTCCTGTGATGTGCCACATAGTTTCATTAAACAGATTCAGGATGTTTGTCTGCTTTGCTGACAGCCATGTATAAAGCTTTACATAAACAGAAGACCTGCCATTGGATTTTGGAGGCCATTTCCCTAGCATAAAGTACCAAAGGTCTCTCCTTGCCTCAGTGTGTAAGACCACATACCACCAGGGAATGGCAGCCTTATGGGTTCCATTTAAAAGGGTTTATATGTGACAAACCCAGAGGGTTCATATGAGAGGTTGACCCAAAAGCAGACTCAAGAGCTGACTTTTTGATCAGGCACCAAAACAAGGACTATCAGTACACACGTGCACACATACACACAAACACACACACACACACGCCTGTGGAGAGATCTCTGGCAAGCAGTTGTGAAACAGAGGAAAGACTGAAATGGTAGAGGAAGGTTTTTGTTGTATGAGAGCTGCAGGGCTGTTGAGGCTCTGCAGAAAAGGGTGGAACGTCAAGCTAATTAAGCAGTGAGCTAAGACCTTCTTCAATAGAGTGTATGAAGGTAGCTGTGGTTTGGGGGGTGCAGGACTGATCTGATTCTGGTGAGGACCAGTCTGCTTGAGGAGAGGAGGGCTGTAGAGGCTGTGCAAAGGGCCCAGGTTTGAGGTCGTTAAGTAGTGCCATCATATTTTTTTCAGTTTCGCTGAAGAAGGGAGGCGTTGGTTGGCATTCAGTGGGCGCAACAGAGGAGTCCAGCAATTTAGATGGAGAGGAATTCTCCAGAGAAGCAGGGCTGTTCGGACTATATTTAGGAGTATTAGAACAGTAGAGTGTATCAGGCTGTGGAGTGACAGGGAGGATTGACCACATGTCATCCTGAATGTCAGCGAAACCAATAGGCTCTTTTTGGTATTTAAAGAATGTGTCAGGGGAGGCACATAATGTGGATAGAGAAGTATATACAGGAGAAGCAGGGTTGGTCTGATTTAGGTGATGACCAGTGAGTGGAGAGGAGGGCTGCTGAGACTGCTCAGAAGTGAGGAGGGGGTCAAGCTGTTCCACCACTGACAGCAGTGCTTCATCAGTGTCACTGACAAAAGTGGCCTGGAGCTGGACGGGTGCAGCA